TCAGCGAGTGGACGACGCTTATTGATACAGCCATTGGCCATTAATAGAGTTGTTATTGCACTTTAATTGAAGTTATGTTTAAGGCGCCGTCGGCAGTTCCTAACACCTGGCAGCAGATCTGGGAAAATCTATGAAGAAACATTGGAAAATATTTATTAGAAAATATGTAGCTTAAAATAAAGAGAATAGTTTAACTAAGGAGAATAAGATAAAAATGTGTATTATGTTTTCTAAAGTTTGATGGTGCCAAGTACAGTAAAACAAGGCCATGCTGACCTGATGTGGCCTTTTCTTTACAACTTTTGGTCAGGGGGTTAATTAGAGGCCTAAAAGCTTACATAAGCTTCATAAACTTGGCATAAGTTTTAATCTATTACATTTCCTTAAGAAACCCTTAACACTTTGCCAAGAACTTTGTTGCCCAGTGTAGACAGCCATTAGCCAAGAATGTGCTTTATATTTTGCGCTAACTGTACTCATTCAGACTGCGTGTTTAGCACATAATTTTTGCTCAGTTTTCCATTCACGGCAGCGGAAAACTGTTTGCATTTTACAGAGAAGTTGGACTCAGATCCGTACCATATTGCATGTTAGTTGGCTCTGAGATAACAGTCTAAATTATTATCATACTTGTAGGGTCTCCAGCACTATCTATCTCTCTCTTTCTCTGTCTGAGGCCATCTCTTTTGCACTTTCGGACTTTGGCAACCTGTTGATGTGTTCTGCCTTTTGCACTTTTTTGATTTTCTGCTCCGTTGAGTTTGATATGTTGCATGAAACATTTGGCTCCGCTTGCATCCTCCGGCCAACTCAACTGTACCCTTCGGAGCTTAGGTTGGTGGATCCCCAATTGGAAAAATGTGGAAAACTATAACGACTTGAAGGTACTTGCGGCAAACACCCTGAAGGAAAACACGTGCGACACTTGGCTTGGTCGGGAAATGGTCAAAAGAATTCCCTATTTTTTATTTCGCTATCGTGGATCTGTCAAAGGCAGCCGTCCGTAACCAGAATTTCATACAAAAGTGCACTGAGAAAAATTACTAGTTATTAAGGTAAACTATATGAAGGAAATACTATATTAAAAGTAATGGAAAGTTAAACTATTTTTAAGGATTCTGGGGTATTGCTAATCCTAGTCATTAATTGGTTCAACATATTTATTCGTTTTATTAGTAATTTTTCTCTGTGTAGTTATGAGTTGGTCATTCTGGTTTTAGTTAGGTCGTAAAATAATTGCCGGCTACTAGAGACTAGAGCTGCGATAGAGCGCGACACATATCATTGCCCTGATGAACGGACTTGGACCTGGGATCAGAGACAGAAGAAGTGCTCTGTAATTATGATGAGGCCAATACAAGAAACGACCCTAAACGCGCCGTTTGTTGTTGTCTCCCCGCCCCCTTTTTCTTTTTCTTTCCCTTTTTTTTTTTTTTTTGAGTAATTAAGAAATCCTCTTTACGGTTCAGTCTCTCTCCCTCTTTCCGTAACATTTTTACTTTTTTTTTGGGTTTTATGTCCGGGGCTGTGGCCAAAAGTTTCACAGAATTTGGTTCGTTTTGTCGCTGAAGCGGCCTGTTTTGATGACTTCACTTAAAGTCAAATGGTCTTACACACCGGTACATGTGGGTTATTATTATTATTTCTAGTATTTCGGTACCATAAGTAGGCTGTTCTTAAAAGAAGGTTCTATAGTAGATTGCCACAGGGTAGGTTGCTGACCAAAGATTGGGATAGATGGGTATTTCTGATAGGAAATAGGCTTGGGAGTTGGGAGATTTACTACTTACTTGCATTTTTATGACATTAATCTAAAAACTAGACTAAAGTAGTCTTTAGCTTGACTTAAACTAGTTTCTAGTCATAATAAACTTTTATATAATATGTTTTAAACCTTAAAAGCATCTCAGAAACTCTTTTAAGGGGTATTCAAAAGTCTAAACTCCCCTCTCCATAACCCTACGACTGGTCAGTGAAACCTTAACCTTAACTTCTGTTCTGTTTTTTCTGTGCCGTGTTGATCTGGAATTAAGCTTTAGGCCCTTTTTTCGTGTTGGCCGTTCTTGCGGCCAATTGCTTCTGACCCTAACCCCAGTTCCCCCACTTTGCACATCCGTTAGGTTCTGGAAATGATTTTTCCTGTTTTGTGGTACAAATTTCGGTGAAAGTTCATTAGACTGTTAATTGCAGTGAGAAGCGATGGCGCGAAGAGAACCTCCATTTGCAGGATTGACTGATTTGGCACCATAAGGTGAAAGTTCCAAGATATTCGTAGAAACCCAAAATGCTTTCCCAAAACGCAATTTGCCAAATGTCTTTGCCAATGTGATTGCAACAATTGCTGGGGAACGAAAGCCAAAAACAAAACAAAAAAAAAACAATAACGAAATCAGAAAATTGCACAATTGGCCGAAAGCAATCGACGCTGTCTCAGCTGACTCATTTTCGTGGAAAAACTATATCATCTATGCTAGCTACATACGAACAGGCATATATGCTTAGACAACAGAAAATGGGAAAAACAATATCATAAGCGGAAATTTTGTTCTTTTACAAAACTAGAACTTCCGCAGGCGAGATATATATATTATGTAGTGATAGTTTCTATAGGGGGCAACCGATGAAAATTTTCTGGGTTTTTGCGCCTAGTCATTTCCTTATCGTAAGGTGAAAAGAAAAATGTCACCAGCAGCAAAAGCAGCCGCGCGGCATAATTAATTATCCCTGTTTTTTTTTTTTTTTTTTTGGGGGGGACTACCGTTCCGATACAACCTCGATGTCATGCAGGCGCTCATATCCACCATTCGGATCGGCCACCGATGGTTCACCCCTATATAATCGAGTTTTGGTACTAAATGCGAGCCCAGAGCCGACGGTCGTAAACATTATCGCATGTTCTACACTTAGATCATCAGCTTCTGCGGGGGTTATACTGTACTAGATACTATATAGTATAGGGTATATGTCGGTACAGGTACATCACAACAACAACAACAACAACAACAAGAGCAACGCATCGTCACGGTTCGATGACAATGTGAAAAATAAAATACAAAAAAATGAGCATTTCAAATACAAATGAAACACATGAGCTGCGAATAGCCCGCCGAGTTTCGTGGGCTGTTGTCTGGCCAAAATGATAGTTGCGTTCGTTCACCACGCTACTCGGCTATATAATATGTATTTTTTGAAAATAAATATATAGATATTCTAGACAATTATTTGTGTTTTATTTACATGAATCATTTTCCCCTTTCATTTAACTGTATTTACTTTTTTGTTTACCAAAGTATTAAGTTTAAGTATGGCTTTGTTAGTCTAAAACTTTTAGATATCAAACTCTAATTTCATTCTAATAAGAGCTTCTCTGATCTGCTTAAAGGAAAACTGCAAATAATTAAAGAATACTTTTCCCCAACTTAATACCAAATAAATACAACGTTTTCCAAGTAACCGAACAAATTCACAAATAAATCAAAGATGCACTTAAGACGGCTTTTCTTCTAGCAGCTGGGTGGAGGCACATCATTAGATGGATAAATGTGTTTCGCCAACTTCCTTTATTATATTTTGCCAGAGATCATTTGCAGAACGCTCGTATTTAGGCTGCTGCTTAGCCAAATGGAAAGCGGACTTCTGTTGTAGTTGCATCCTGGCTTTGCAGCAACTGAAAGCTGCAAGCAACAGCATCAGCAGCTGCAGTTTGTTGCTGCAACTAATTGCATTTGGCTGGGATCGTCAGCAAAACAGCTTGGATTCAGATCCAGCTATAGCTGCATATAGCATCGGATCCAGCGACTAACGGTTGCCAACGCTTCCGTTAAGCAGCATGAAAAACGACAAATGAAGTTTTTCTTTATTTCGCTGCATGTTCTACCGCTGTTGTTCTGTTATTTGCAACGAAATCAAAGCATCGAACACCCCAACGCAGAACTAACAGTAGCGCGAAAATCTCCACTTCAATGCACACCCAGGTGCAAAATAAATAAAAACATCGAAACTATAAATCTTTTACCCATCAACTATTCACTCTTTTTAGTAACATTTTGGTAGAGTTTCCAGGCCAAAGAAGAAACAGATTTTTACCCAAAAAAGTTGACCAGCACTTCCCTGAATTTTAAGACATCCGAAAAGATATTCTTAAAATGTTCTTTTTGTGATAGCTTCTCCTCTATGTTCAATATTTCTAGAATAGAAATATTTAGTTATTATAAGTCAAAGATTTTTCTCTCTGCAATATCATGGAATGCGAAAATTGATCAAACACTATCCATCAAATATTATTGTGTTAATTTTCCTTTACAGTGGCAAACGGAAGTTTGAACTTATTAAAATGTAACTATCTTGGCTAGAACCTTCCATAATTATAATAGGGATCGATTAAGGCCTCGTGCTGGGACTTCCGATGCGCCCAAAGGAAGCTAGTTCCGCTTAGAATGGCGCATAATGATAAGGAGTGCTTATATGGAGGCTGCTAAGAAGATTGCTCTAAACGGTTTGGTAATGGCCAAACAAATTACGTTTGAACGGCCAGCGGAAGTCTTGGTTAGGGAAAATGTCAACGACATCGCACTGAGGGAAAATTAAAGAACATTTGAGTTAAGTTATTATGATGATTTAATTTTCAAACACGGCTTAGACTAGAAGCAGAAGTTAAATTTAAAATGTTTTTAATACACAATTATGATAGCTTAGTTCTTAGATATTCCATAAAACTAAGGTACTTGATATTTGAATTTAAATATTTTTACTTATTTAATGCCGAGCTTAAGGCCTCCTAAAAACAAAATAAGAAAAAAATACTTTGAAGTCACAATATTTTAGCAATTAAAAGTTAATCTCAAAAACGTTAAGTTAATGATGTAAATGTTATCCATTAATATCATAATGGGATGCCTTTCCTGTGTGCAATGCTTTGTGAGATATATATCGGAAGAGTTCACTTGATTCCAGGTGACTTACAGGCCTAATGATCATTAAGATCGAAGAGAGGGGTTCTCTTAGGCCTGTGCAAGCGAGAGAGAGAAAAGACAGTGGTAAAGAGAACGCTTTACAGAGAGAGAGATCGAGTGAGATGGCTATAGCCCGACATGGCAGGTAATTACACCTGTGCTAATACGGTTCGCTGGTTCCCCTAAGAAAAAGCGGGACAGCTGGCTATATGGAGTTTTGGAGAGTTCGTACCGCCGCGAGGTTACAAAAACCCCGTGCCATCGTCAATTGCTGGCAAGTCGCAAAGTGGAACGCAGAGGCGAACGAGCTAAAGAAACTCAGTTAAACAGTTTAAACGCGGTGCCAGTCACTTTTTTCATATATATGCATATATATATATATATGTATGTATAGAGAGAGGCTCCCTAGCAAGCAACCTACCTACCTACCAACCAACTCACTTACCTGTCGTGTTGGCCACGTTTGTACCGATCCGATCAGTGCACCGTCAGCCAGCGACGCGCACACACCGAACCACTCTGGGAAACACACAGCACCAGCACCACTATCAACAGAAGTGTTAGATAAACTGATAATACTACGGAGCCCCCAACAAAAGCACTAACGTGGCGTTAACTCTATTAACTAAAACTGAAAAAAAAAAAACCACTCACACTCACATAAATCAACAGCAAAAAAGCTGGCGAAAAAACAATACAATAGTAAAGACAATAACCCAAGAAAAACGAAAAACGAGTCAGCGGCAAAGTGTCAATAAAACTCTCGAATTCATTAACACAACTCAAAACGTTCTATTAGTAAGCACTTGCAAATTTCAACCAAACAAAAAAAAAAAAAAACAGGAAAAAACTGAAAACTAAAGTTGAACGGAGCGAGTGAGATGGATTGAGAGAGATAAAAGGAGAGGGGACTAGACACAAATTAGCGTGGCCAACAGTCAAAAGGTCTAATAGAAACGCGTGTATACGAGTAGATATACCCGTATATACACCTCACCGAGACCCAAATAGCCATGATCGTAAAAACCACATCAACAAATGTTCGAAACGAACAAAAAAATCACAGACAAGCCAGACGAAGCTGCGCTGCCATGTCCTTGGCCTGTAAAAGGGCAGGTGAGTTCAAAATTAACAAACATTTTTTATATATATCTAGGTTTTGGTTTTGTTTTTTTTTTTTTCGTTTTGTGGCTTTAGTTTTTATGATTATTGGGTGCATCACCATTAATCACCGGCCTTAGAGCTGGAGTAGCCTGAGGCTGGAAAAACTAATGGATCTCTGGTCGCAGCGAAGAAAATCTATTGAAAACGATTGTTCGTTGAGAAAAATTGAAAACTAATTGATCTGGCCACAGTCGAATCCATTCATTGGACCTGCTCTGGATGAATGGTTTCGAAAGTTCACCTTGGCAGTAGATGGGTTTTGTATGAAGGAGATGGAGGACTGGGTTTTCTGTAATTTTCTTTAGGAATTTTACAAAAGTTTTCATTTAATTACAGGGGCAAGAGGAAAAGGTACTTAAATAGACTTTTTATAGCTACTTTCATCAACCTAAATTACTTTAAAAGCTACTAAAGAAAAACATCTGTTAAAGACAGTCTTAAGATACCCAATTCCATTTATAGAAACCCAATTTCTTTCTTCTCATATCTCATATCTCAAAATCATAGCTTAGCTTACCAAATAGCTAATAATTTTCTGGCCATAATTCAAGCTGTCAAAGAACCCGAAAAACATAGAAATGGTTGGAGGAAAAAATCCCTCAGTTTTGTGCTCAATCATTTCACATAATTTGTAGCACAGCATTCGAATGGCTTGGAAAACATTTAGCGGCGCTTTAAACAAGTCAATAAACGATTAAAATAATGATTTTTCAAAACCCCCAAAAGGTGTTCGAGTGATCCCACACACACAGACTCACAAAAGGCAAAAGCGGCCCACAAAAATATATTACAAAAGCACTCTCAGTAAAAAAAAAAAAAAAGGTTAAATAAAAAAAAAGAAAAAGGAACGAAAATGTTTATAGCCAACAAAAAATGATATAATAAAAGGCAACCTCTGTGATCTCAGTGCTCACTCAGAGTGTTGGCTATAATTGCGAGTTCGAGTTTGGGCCATCGAGTGACATCATTTTTGGGCAACTTTTATTTTTATTATTTTTTTTTTTTTTTTTTATAATATTTCGAGTGTCGGCGAGCGGTTTTCAAGCCAGAGATATTGCCAAACAAGTTGTACACTCTGGCGGGAGTATACATATAATATGTATTGTATATCTCCGAGAGCTTTAATTGCTATGACTTTATTAGGTTATCAGAGCCACCGGCCAGCAACGTCGAGCTAAAGCCGATCTTGATGCCTGAGTTATGTCTCATTAGCAACACGTGTGAGTCGCGGTTGGAAGAGGGTTCGAGGAAGAAGGCTAAGACGAGTGCTGGAAGAATTGCCAGCGAAAGAACCCACAATCGCTTCTACACATGCCTACCTTCAAGTCTTCTGTCTCCCTTCCACTGGCTCCATCTGTCCCGCTCAACATACACACACAAAACACACACAGTTGCAATATCAATTACAGCATGCCACAGGAGCAGTAAGCAGTGAACAGTAACTGGTTTCGGTGAGGGTAGATAATGCCTGGGTACATCGGCTACATTGAATGCCTAATTGTCCGCCGCTGATTATGATTAAATTTATTACACACTTCTTGGAAGTATTCTGTGAGATTCTCTGCGTTTTGAATATCAGGTATGACTTGATCTGGGGGTATTACCAATATCATTCTTTCAAACATACTTCTATTAATCTCACATCAATTTGATTTATTGCCATCTTGAATCAAAGGCTTTATTATTCCAGTATTAGCTTTTAAATCTGGTTTTAAGAATGCCAAAAGATTAAGAGTTAGTAAAGATCAAAGCATGATTTTCATTCTCATATCTCAATATGATTGCTAGAGCACTTGAAAGTCGTTCAGTTGCCCTTCTCAACCTGGCAGTTGCTGTCGGTGGGACACCTTATGCTCCTTGTGCTCAGAGGTTTCATGTTGCATTTGCCTTGACTGCATCCTCTCAGAAAATGACCCAGAGCTATCGCCACGACCAGTACCAGTACCTACCATTGCTAAAATAAGAACCACTGCCAGCCGACGTGCCCAATACCCATTGCCATAAAGTTGCAGCAGGAAACCGAGTCAAACCGGCAGCAGCACCAACAGCAGCGGCAGCAACAATTTGCAAACTCATGATGCAGCCTTAAAAGGCCGCCTCATCCGCTCGGGCAAATAAAAAGTGCGTGATTTGTGTGATGTGCCAAACCACCAGAGAGAAGAAGAGAGTCTCCTTCAGTCTTCTTAGTCTTTTGAATCTTTTGAGTCCCTGGCAATCCATCAGGGCAGTCAGGGCCGACAGTTTTGCCGGAGGTCTGTTGACCTCTGAGTGCTCTTCTTGGCCCGGCAACAGCAGTTGCGCATGTCTAATTGCAGTCAAGTTGGTAGTGAGAGGCTCTCAGGGTTCACATCCCGGGGTCCGTGAGAATTTGCCACCTGTCAGCCAGCGATAATTGCCAGCGGGTCAGACAGCATCAACAGCAGCAGCAGCAACATTTACGGCAGCAACATCAACAGGTAACCTGAGGACCTTAAGAGCGCTTACCCAGAGTCTTTAGCACACGAATCCGACATAGATTCTACTTATAAGAGCAGCGGGAAAAAGGTTAGCTGACATAGACTCCACTTAAAACTGCTTGGTTACGAGAGTACAAAGCTATAATCACTTTTCATTTTTAGTTCCAAAAACCTCAAATACTTTCTAAGATCAACAAAATACTTTATTTAAGTTGTGAAAGTTGACAAATGAAAGATTTGAGCTTTGATTTGCTTACATCATTATTTTCAAGCTAATCGTTTGGCAGAGATTTGTTTTTTTTGGGAAGTGAGCAGAACCAGAATTGTGGCACTGCTTCCGCTTAAAAACTCTCCCCGCCCATATAAGAACAGACTATATATCAGAGTTCCCAACACAGCAGCTACAACATTTTTATTAGGCTGACTGGCCAAAGGTTCCCATTCAAGTGGCTTGTCACTTGTTGTTCTGTTTTCTGTTTCTTGCTGGGCACTTCTAAAAAAGTTGTTGGGTTTCCTGGAATGGCCCCAGCTCAGACAATCTCTCGCTCTTCGACCCGTTCCCGTCTTATTTTATGTTTTTTTTTTGTGATTTTTTTTGTGATTTTTTTTTTATTATACGTACGAGTATGTTTGCCTGGGCCGACGGTAGCTGACCTTTTTGTATACGTTTCCTTAGCTGTTGCGGTTGCCAATGTTGCTGCTGCCTGCTACTTATAACTACTTGCTGTTGCTTTTCGGGCGAAGTTGTAAAATGTTGTTCAAAGCGCCGCAGAAACCGTTGGCGTTAATGATCGCCGCTGGGCATGCGACGAGGATGAGGAGCAAAAAATCTTTCCTAATAGCTGAAAGGAACCCAATCCCAAGCCCAAGCCCAAACCCAAACCCAAACCCGAGCCCGAACCCTCCTCAACCTAAAGAAACGCGCAATGCTGAACGTTTTTTGGCTACCGGTTGCGTTTCCACGCAACAAATGGCAACATTTAAAAGTCCATTTCGCCTGCTCATCTCCTCGGTTTTGGCCTCACCTTCATTTGGGCTCATCTTCATCCTCCACGTCCACATCCACATCGACGTCTCTGGGCACAGGTGCACAGCGGGCAGCAGTCACAACATAGCACTGGCTCATATATCTTGGGCCTGAATGGTTTGGCCAAGAGGAGAGCAGATCTTGGAAGCCATCGGGGAACTGAGCTTTTTGCGGTGCGGAGCTGGCTCAATTGATGCTGACAGCGAATGAAAGGCTCTGGCTGAGACTCTGCAACTGAGACCCGAGCCAGAACAGCAAGTCTAAGGCACAGTGGTAGAAATGGGCCCAAGATCCTTCGAAATCTGACTTAATATGGTTTTGTTCTTTAGTTTTTTAGGAAAAGAGTTAAATGTTTTTCCTAAACTCATATCTGATCAATTTTATGGCCACTTCATCTGTTTTAATTAAAACTAACTTCCGTAATATCAGTTAGTTCTTAAACAAGTCATAAAAATCCTTTTGTCCTCCAATATATTATCTAATAAATTCTTGCTCTTCTTGTTTGTTAACTAAGCCAAGGATGTATTGTAGATGAGTCAATATGCAGTTAAAAAGTATTCATAAAAAGGTTTAATGGTGTTGGAAATGGATTTTTTTTTAATCATCCCAGGTCGTTAGCATGTATCCCAGTGATTTTATGGGTTAGTTTCCCCGGGACACTGTTCCTGGCTTAGCCAGGCACTGCCATGCCGTTGGGCTAACTTCCTTGCCAGATGTGTAAACCAGTTTTTTGGGTGCCCATTCGAATCGAGCGATACAGCAACCACAGCCAACGACGACGAGGACGCCGATGACTTCGACTCCCCACAAGATCAATTCTAGCAGATTTCACTTTTTCCTTGGCCTGGCTCAAAGTTGGGATGTCAGTTTCTTTTTTTTTTCTTTTGGATTTTCTTAGTTGCCCATGTGGAAGGTGCAGCTTGAACGGTTGCAACATTTGCTTCGATTGCTGTGTGTTGCCTGCCTTGTCGTCGTTTTGTTTGCCAGCCTCCCCGGATTCCTGGATCTCGGCACATTGCATTTTTATCTCAATGAGACCAACGAACATGTTGTTGTTGGCTGGTTGCATGCCACAAATGTGCGATTGGCATGTCAAAAGAATTATGTATTGATTTTTGATTTCTGCCTAAAAGCGGAAGTTTCTCCTCAGAATACGTGTGTTCAGTTTATATGCTTGTATGGTATATTTACAGTCCGCCTCGAACACGAAAACTTATTAAATTCAAACAAATTAAAATCCGGGACTTAGTGGCACCGGCCCATTGAAAATCTATGTATCGATGGATGTTCAAGAGGTGGAAACTAGTTTTCCCAACAAGTGGGCGCCGCTTGGCCGCAAAATGAATGACACTAAACGCTCTTGACAGCAAACATTTGTCTGCAACAGATGTAGTTAATTAGTTTTGCACGAAATTATGTTAGTTAATTGATTAACTATCGAAGCAACTATTGAAGAGGGGCACAGGTACAGGTTCAGCCAGAGATCGATCGGTCGGTCTTTTGGCCAGGCTTAAAGGCCCTGCCTTTTTAAAAAGCCAGCGAATATAAATTGCTGTGTTTTCTCTTCACTCTTTTTTATTTTCTTTGGTATTTTTTCTGAAGAGATCTCTGAGCCGGCCGCTGCACCCACGCAAGAGATCCGAAAACCACACAATCCAGGCTAGTCGAGATCTCTGGGTTGTGCGCTGTCTAAATATGGACATGGGCGGCCTGAAATTTCGAGGGGCCGAAACACAACGTACCCAGTCATTGCGATCGCAGTGGAGGAGTAACCAGCAATATACTGGTCCAGTGGTCTTCGAAGTCGATGATCTGTGCCAAGCAGAAGCCAATGATTGCCCCTCATCGGAGGTGGAATAGTATTTTGTGAGCAAGAAATGGTTTGCCAAGAAATTGGTTACAAATGGTGGGCAAGGTTAGCCCTATATAGAAATGGTCTTTAAACACATTCAAATTGAAAAGTATAAAGAATATTAAAAATTTAAGAATTGAAATAATATTAAATAATTTCTAAAACTTCAAAGATGTTTTATAGATAAGCCCCAGAGTTTAAACCCTGAACTAAAACCAAGCTTTTGAAATACGAAAAGAGAATGTTCCAGGCTTGGGCCTATTGTGCTAAATTGTGCTTGAGGAGAGGGCCAGAGAATGGTAGATCTGGTAGATAAAAGTGGCTTTAACTATGAAAGCCATCAATGTGCTGAAACGTTTTATGAGAATGGTATATAAAGAATCGATCTGTGGTGAGTGGCAAGTTCCGTTTCGATTAACTGGCGAAGATCGTGCCAGCCAACACATAACTCTTGGGAATAAGATCGGTCTTTGTTTTGAGCTATACTATTATATACTACATATATACTATTTATATTTCCTTACCTTAAAGCGCTCTGTAGGCCGTAAGCTGCTCATCAGCTTTGTTGAGTCGCTAATGAAGATCAGAATGTCCAAATGGCGGGATGACTGTTTTTGTGTGGCTTGGTAATTAATAAAAATTTCAACAAAATCCGACACGACACATGGCTCAAAACAGATACAGCGCGAAATATAATGGCTAGATGAGTTTTTCGGGGTACAAAAAATTAGAGCCAGTCAGACAATGGCCCTAACCGTGCCAAGCAGCTTTGCCAACGCATTGAAAATTGTGCGCATTGTTCGGATGACTATACAATGTGCCTGCCTGGTTGCTCTCTCACTGTCAACTACTTGAAACCAGAAAGGCAGGAGGCTAAAAAAATATATGAAAAAAAAAACCCATAACAGACAAAACAAAAATCACATACACGACTTTTTCGTAACAGTCACGTTTTTTATTTCATTTATTTACTTTGCTGACAAAACAAGAAAAGTACTGGCCAAAAAAAGAAAAAAAAGTTGAAAAAACAAACGAAAATCGAGCAGAGCTCGCGCCCAAAGTTGACGCATCGTGCCAGCAAACAAATCATAAATATCATGAAAACCACAAAAAATTCCAATAAAAATGGTAGCCAACATGAAGAGGCATAAAAATCAGAGATCAGAGATCCAACCAATCTGATTAGATGAGAAAATAGTAAAGGAAAAAAATAAGAAGGTAGACAAGATGGTTAGGAATAGTAGGAAGTGGCAGCTATTTGGGGAGGGATTATGATGTTGCAGTCGATTTAATGACAGCTTCAGGTTATATCTGCCACTGCTGCAATTAGTTGTCTTCGTCTCTAGCCTGAGTCTGTCCCAGGTGGCGTATACGCAATATGCTCGTATATCAGTATAGTTGTTGTATAGTTGTTGTTTCTGTTGCTGGTTGTACCTGTGTGAATGATGAGTGTTGAGTTGCAGGTAATAATTGCTACTGGTCGTCATCGGGCTTGTCGTGAGCTCAGCGCAAACATATAATTAAGATTGAGCTCTGAGTTCCCGCTCAAGATGAAGTCTCCAAAAAGGTCACTCTCTCTCTTCTTCTCTCTCTCCAACTCTCTATATCTCTCGTTCTCTCTCGCTGGGCTCTTAAAAGGCCATATTTTAGCCAAAAAAAAAAAAAAATGAAACAAAAATGAAGAAAAAACTGCATAGCTTGGCACAATTATGAAATATTTTTGCAAAACTCAAAAAAAGAAACAACCTCGAACCGGTTTCCTTGGCGTAATGAAGGATAATGATGATGATGATGACGATGCGCCGACCAGGCTCCAAGCTCCATCCTCGATCTTCAAGATCCGAGATTCAAAACTTCAGACCCAGCACCGAAGATGACTAGAAGTGGAGAAAAGATTTATGCCCAAGCCTTGGCCAAAAGGAGCCGGGCATCTGCAAGATGAAGATGCCACTTGCCACTTGCCAACTTGCAACGAGCTCGAGACTTGGCCAGACTGCTCGCCCGCAGGCCGCTTTATTTGTCAAGATTAATTACAAAAATTTGCGTTAAATCATAATTTTCAATGTTTTATGAGCCAACCGCCCGCCTAGAATACTATGAGAGGAAAATGGCAGGAAAAAACACCTTTCCTTGATTTACGACTCATTGTTGGCTGTGGCTGTTACCGCAACAAGTAAAAAGCTGTTGACAAGCCCATGCTGGGTTCGCTTTTGGCATTTTGCCTGGGAATGACATTTATCTGAACCTGCCGCAAAATGCAACGCAAATACACTGCCGGCTTTTGGCGCTTGATAAGATTTTGTGAGGAAATATTTTTGGCAATATTATTGGGCGTAAAGTTGATTAAAGTGGAAAAATATATACATGAGGAATTTCGTGGGTTTGGTATTTACGTTATTTCTGCTGCTTATTTTGGTTAGGAAAGTTTTATAGATAAGTAAATAAGTTAGCAGTTTTTATCCTATAAACACATCTAGCTAGACTTTCAGTTTTATACCTAACTTTACACATATTTTATTTAAACAAAAAAATGCATTTCCTTTGCAGTGAAATTCCCGGCACTCCATAACAACATCATCAAAGGCCACAATGCGACTCGGGGTTCCCAGGAGTCCTTTCAGCGGAACCGCTCTACTGAAGTACAGAATTACAGAAATTCAGTGCCCCCTGCTGGAGTCCACCATGGCAGTAATAAGGTAAGCCAAACCGAGAGATGCTGTTTATGGTTTTAATTAAACGGGGGCAACATTGGTGCGCCTCATTAGCGGCAATTTGTTGGGCATGCCGCCATCAAATCGAACGGGTAGTATTTTCACGGAAGCCGCGCCGTCCCCAGATAAACCGATACCTAGTATATATATATATATATATGTATATATAACAGATACTGGGATAAGCTAACACTAAAGTTTGAGCCCGAGTTCCAGTTCCCGCCGGCGAACCTGCTAATTATGCATGTGGCATGTGTGTTGCTTTGACGGCATCATGGGGTTTCTCGGTCTTTCGGTTTCTCGAGGCCTCAGCCTCAGCCTCAGCCTTATCTATCAAAGCGTTGCGGGGCATAAAATTCAAATTGACACTAGTACGGCCAGTGAAAGCGTGTGAACTGAACTTGAGATACCGACACAGAGACAGACGTGGCACAGATAAAGATATACCGCATAGACCAAACAGCCGTATAAACAGCTATATAAATTAAACTAAAACCGCAAATAAACATGAGGCTTTCCAAGGGAAACAAGTGTGGCAAAGAGATAACGAGGTAGACAAATGGACGCGAGACAAATACAGCTTGGAGAGAGAAATAGAAATATTTTTAATCACAATATATATAGAATATGGAACTATGAGTCTTCAACCTTAGTTTTTGAACCAAAAACTTAGTTTAAACTTCTGATTTTCGTGACTCACGCACGTTCACGTTCTCCTTACTTAAAGTTAAACCCATTTTTCATGCATATGCAGACGGGGAAAGACAACAAACACAGAAAACATTTAAGAAAAACAACAGACACAACAAAAGCCGCTGGCATAACAATCACCGGGCTTAGCCCATAAATCTACACATGTTTACATTGGCTTAGCCACTCGAATTGAGGCTGCTCACTGAGGCCGGTGGTACGCTTCCATATCAGTTGACAAATTTGTCAACTTGCCTGGCAACTTGAATGACATTTTCCAAACCAATTTACCTCCCCCCCCTAAACTACCCTGGTCCAACCACGAAAAGTGGAAACCACCCAAAGGAAATCCAAACAATGGACAAACAGCGAACAACTTGAGTCAGCTGCGGCGCTTTCAATTCATGAAATGGACAATTGTTGTCTCGCTCCGTTGACTCAATTGAACGCGGTCCGCACAGAAACAGGTAACAACAATATTGGCCATCAGCAGGAACGGTAGCAGTCGACAACTGTAATTACTCCGACTGCGATAAGACGGCCCAAGTTGAAGTCGAGGCCTCGGCTAGTTGCACAAGTCTGTCTTATCAGCCAATAAATTGCAATCGGATGAGTCAATTGGTTTGACAGGGACTGGGAAATGATTGGGGAAAACAAAGGGGGTTTAAAGGGGTTTGTTCAAGGCTTGAAATCTACTTAGATGAGCAGATTTTGAGTAATTACGACTTAACCTAAATTCTTGGTCTCTTAAAAGCTTTCAGGAAGTCAAAAACTGCTTACTACTCCACAGATAAAAAACCAACGATAGACCCCATTAAGCCCACTTAATAACCAAATAAAAATTATAACTACCTTCAGGCTTCCAACTAATAGTTCTTGAGTTTCCTGTACATTATTTGTTTTCACAGTGGCCATAATCAAAATAAATTATAAAAATGCCAAAGCCTATAACCCTAAACAAAAATAATATGGCACCATGGGCCTGAACATAAATCTTGGCCATATCTTTATCTTCTATCTGGTATCTAATGCAGCTGCTGCTACTGGCCAGAAGTCTGAGATAAATGCGACCGCGAAAACTTTGACAAGCGATTAACTTTACAATTTATCGCCCAGCAATTTGAATCGTCGTAAATCGTCGGTAAAGGCAGCTATCCGTGTGCAAGAACTGGTGCCCCTGTGCTCATGTTGCGTCATTAATTTAACCAGTTGTTGCAACAAGCTTAGCTTAGCTGGGTCAGGTTCGAGGCGCTCTCCAAGAATCGCCCTGATTAAAACATCAGCCCCGGACCCAAAGTAAAGTTGTTCAGCCAGCTTCGCTTCTCTGCTCTCCAATCCTCTCCACTCATCGAGCTGTTTTTATTTATGCATGTTTAAACATATTTAATGTCATTACGGGCACCTTGCCCAGCGCCCATGCCACAAACACGCATTTAATTATCTGCCCCGGCTCCACATGCCCCATGCGCATTAATTTAATGAACGCATGCATTTCACATTTTTATCATGTCCAATTGGAGGTGGGGACATATGGCGGATCTGGTGGGGATCTGTTATGGTGTATCCCGGTAGCTGCCTGGCCTGGCTTGGCCTGGCCTGGCCTGGCATGGCTTGTTCCAATATATTTATTGCCTCGTCGCCTTTCGTTGCTCTGGTTTTCTTTTTTCTCCTGTTGTTGTTGTTGTTGTTGCTGCTGCTGTCGTTGCTGTCGTCGTCGCGTTTTTAATCGCATTTAATATTTCATTTTATTAAGCCAATCGTTAAGTCCAGTTGGCGGTGCATTTCCATCTCCATCTTCATCTCCATGGCCGCGAAATGTGCATCAGCATGTCGGCTGATGTCTGCTGATCGTCTGGCGAGCGATGAGCAATTTGCTTAATGCTGTCATAAGGCTGTCAGTTTATCATTTGCATGGCGGCGCCTTTGGCGACATGGAGATGACACTTAATAAGTAACCAACTTACTGACCACCAAATTACTTGGTAGCTATGACTTGCCAGTTGGGTGTTGGGAACTGGGGAGATCCAGTGGAAATGGACAAAATGCCAGACATTTCATTACTGCCATGTGGCTGCCACAACTCTGCAGCTGCAAATTGAAAACTGAAAACAAACTGCATTCCATTGATCCAGCCAAGCGAAGTGTAGCAGAGCAATTGTCAATTGCACCACCCTACAAGATAGGCACTGAGGAAAAATTTATGTAATTTATTATGTTTTTCAGCTCAGTTAGTTGGAAGTTCAGAGAGTCCCCCAGCCTAGGTGAAACTTTTACAAGCTACGCTTATGGCTAGGAGGAAAAAAGGGGCAATGCAACTGTTTCAGCTTATTGAGGCAAGTTTTTGTTGCTCCTGCTTCCTGTCGTTATAGGAGCTGTGAGTTACAAGCGGATAGGATGCGAGGGTTGCTTGAAAACTAATATGATATTATATGCAAAAGAAAAGCAGCTTTTATTAATTTATCAAGAGAATTTTAAATTTTAAAACTCTAAAATAGAACTTTGGGAAGTTAAGTTTGTAAATTTAATATCTTAATACTCATCAATCTACCCTCGCCTGGCTTCCATTGATACTTATGCCAATTACCATTCTCCGTTCGCCTCTTTGCAGACAAATGCCATGGACTCGGTTACAATTTGGTCTCGTCTTGTCAATCAATTGGGATCGAGTTGTTGCCTAGAACTGGAAATGGCCAAGGATGACCGGTGAGCGCTTCCTGTTCGGTTGGTAAGTTGGTAAGTTGGTAAGCTGATACGTGGACTAGGCTGGGGCTTAATTAGCCACACGACGACCCCGACCCGTGTTGACCTCAAAGCTAACTAATTTATCAAAATGGAAAGAAAAACTGAAAATAACTCTACGCATAATTAAATCAAGCCAAAAAGTAGAAAAAAGAAAGATTGAAAGAAAAAACCGATACCCAAATGCGTTTTTAAACCGTTGCGCAACGCCTCTTTCTAACAGTTTTCGAGATTGCTTTTTGGAGTTTTGTTTGAATTTTTGCTTTTCCTTTGGTTAATTGCCGCTTATTAATCTCGGCTCGGTTAATGGTCTCACAAACAGAATTCTAATTAATGAAATATTTTTTCGGCCTTTTGCTTGCATTGTCTAGGCATTCCAGCTCCCCGAAACTATAATCAATCATAGACCCCAAGACCCTAAGATCTCACAAATGTTGGACTTTTGGACCAAAACTGAACTCTCGAGTGTTGTTGACAAATTTTTTGAGTTGCCGGCAGATTGACAGGAAAATTGGGTAATCAATCATGGGCTATCAAAAGATGTGCCGCCGCCAAATGGCCTTCGAAAGGTCTGTGTAGTTAGTTAGATTCCCAAATAAAAAATCAAGTCTTATCAACCGATGATGCACGTCTAGGCCATTATATAAATGCTAATGGTATTTCAGCAAATCAAGTTAGTTGAGAATGTTGACAAAAATCTCAGGCAGTTCGCTTGCTCGAAACAAGTTGAATCAGGTTTGGTTTTATTTTTAGTCCGCTGTAGCTGTTCGCATGCGATTGAAATGAAATATAAAATTACATTAAATTACCGGATGTAATTGCGGTGGTCGTGCCAGTCGACTCTCTCAGCCTGGTCAATGAATCACGGCCCGGCGCACACGAAATGCGTCGAAACAAAAGACTCAGGCAACGAACTCAAAACTCGACTCTTGCCCAGATTCGAGCACTGAGTCGTCCACTTATGTCCAAATCAGGGAGACCAGCAACCCACACAGAAAGGTAACCCTCAAAAAAATACAAAAAATAAAACCAAAGAAAGAAAGGCCCCCACACACACACACAGCCATGTTGAGTGGTATCTTATCAGGGCTAACGATTTTGTCAAATGACAATTTTCTCGGCCTTATTGAATGCCTCTTTTTCACGCCATTCCATTGACTTTTGTATGGTCCATTTAGTTGTCAATTATTTTTGATAGGCCCCGACTTGGGCAGCTGATAAGAACCTGTGTTTAACAAACCTCGGAGGAGTTATGTTAAGAAAAATACGAAGAAAAGAGGACCCAATCGGATCTTGGCTGGATGTGGATGTGGATGTGCATCCACAGCTACTGCCTCTCTCCGTTTTGGCCACATTTGCATATTGAACGGCAGTTTGTCTTGAGCCTGAGCTTTTAGTTATGGCCAAACATTAAATTTAACTATTAAGCCATTTTCGGAGGCTAGTCTTGTGGAGCTCGACTTTCCAAACATTGTCCCCTGACAGCTGCTGTTCCCTATGCGAGTTTTTTCTTCTATTTTTCTTTTCCTGTTGGAATTTATGAGGCAAACAGACACAGAAAGATAGACAGAATGATTAACAAGTTAAGGAGAGGCCTGGGAACTTGGCAAAAGGAAAACTGCTGAAGTGAAATGTTCAGAGTTTTATTGATCTGAAAAGAGGTAAAAGGAAAATAAATGGAAATTAAGGATTTATTACTTAACGGAATGGGGAAAATGTAAGCCACTTCGAATGAAAGGTCTAGTTGGGCCATTGTAAGTTGCAAAACGATAAACAATTGGCATGGCTTAATTTGATCATAAAAATGGCGAATTACACAGAGATGAAATTCAATTTCTTGCAACTCAATCAAGAGGCATGCAACGGAGGCTGCTGACCTATATATGGTTAATAAGAATCGACTTGCATACCTGCATATTGTATGTAGGAATGCCTGTTGCAGCAAGACCATGCACATATTCCTCATATTGATATCTCCCCCCCCAACTACCTTGCTGCCACATTTCGTGCAACAATTTTCGAAGAAAACAATTTTCAGAGCACGAAACGAGCGAAGGGGAAAGATCAGAGCGCAGAAAATGAGAAATTTTTGCAGTGCATCATCATATGCCACGCACGTAGAAACCAAACCAAACCAAACGAAACAGCAACAACCAGACAATCATCATGCACATAATCATGCCATCAATATATGGCAATTATCAATGAAATTTATAACAATCCACGAAATGTAACGAAAACTTAACCGACCAATAAAAATTTCATTTTTCTTAAAAAAAATAAAACAACAGGAGTCCAGCTTCAGTTCGACTGCAGTTCGGTTTGGTTCCTCGTTCTGCAAAAATAAAAATGAAAAAAAAAACAGTGGAAAAAATGCCAGAAACATGATCATGATGTGCTGCTTGATGTGGCTGTTTTAGCCTCGTTCGCTTCGCCTTGTGATCTGCATCATAAAAACGTGCCAGATTGATGCGTGATTGAAATGCCAATTGGTTTCCAGTTGGACTCCGGTCTCTGCTCGGACTGTGCGTGCTCTTACCGTTACCAAACCAATCTGCATTGTCATCTTGGACAATTAGAACAAGCCGAGTTCGAGATCTCAAAGATACATTTATTTTGTGAGTGTGTTTTTTTTTTTTTTAGAGGTACTTCTTTATGAGAAAAGAAAAGTGGGAGGAAAGACTGTCTGTCAGAGAGTGGTCTTCAGGTAATTTCACAAAGAGGAAGATAGTAAAATCAATCCGCTAGATAAACAGTTAGAGCCACTGGATGAAGAAGAAGAAGAAGAAGAAGAAAAAAGGGGCGAATGAGAATGGAGAGTGGGGCGGGCCAAGTTTCCGTTGACCACTTACCGTTGGTAGAGGTTTTGTCGCCATGACCATGACTTGTGGTGTCCGTATGTGGGACACACGCTCTGACGAGGGTTACCACGATTTCTTGACGGGATTCGTAACGTAACGGAAGCGGGAGTCAGATTACCCATTTCAGTTCGATTGTATCTTGTATCTTGGCCTCTTTGATTTGGCTATTGTGATATTGTGAGTTAACAAAAATTAATTGATTTGGCAAACTATTTTGACATTTGGAAAGGGAAAACATATTATAAATAAAATGTATCTATCAGTTAGTATATCTTATAGTGTGCTACCCATTCGACCATCTACACATTCCATAAATATGCATGTTGCAAAGTCTCTCGATGGCGTGCTGTCGTAGTTGGCTGATGAATGGAGTCTGCTGGCGCCACCAGCAGAACACCAGAACTATCAAACTCCTCCGGATGGCTGGCCATCTAGGGCAACTTGACTGGGATCGACTGGAACGGACTGAGACTGGGGACTGAAACTTGAAAACGGTGTGGCAATATCAATGCAATAACATGTGGCATCGCAATCTGCGATGAAGGAGCTTCTTTTACAGCCTCTGCAACTTCCTCACTCGCTTATCGCTGCCAACAAATTGACCATTTCAATTAATGAAACGCACTTAAACACTAAAGAGTTTTGTTTGGCCCGCTCTTTGCCACTCAAGTGTTGGCGCTAATGAACATGCTGAATCGTAAAAGCCAACATTAAGATGCTTCTCCTTTTTCTTGAGGTTTTTTTTTTGTTGTTTATCAGGCCGCTCCTTGTTCCTCATCCCGCTCACATTTGCATATTTTGTTGTCGAGATTAAGCGCGTAAATTTGTCGTTAAAAATCATGTTTGAGATCGGCCACAGAGACACACGCGATTGCCCAAACAAAATGAGAGGGAAAAAAAAACAGAAAAAATAAGGCTGAAAAACAGGCAGCTGTTGATTTTTAACTGTTTCGGTTCGAGTTTGTTTCTCGTATTTTGATTGCTGGCCGCTCAATTTGATTGATGGCTGTCGCCTCACGGCGCATGCGCGGCATGTCTATGCCACTGACGTACTGATTTACCGTTGCCTGATAAGCAAACTAAAAAAAAAAAAAAGCTCGAGACTCGACAAAAAACGAGTGGCAATTACCTCAAGTGGAGCAGCATTTGGCATTTGCATAAATTGGCCTAAAACAAAAACCAAACGAAACGAGACGAAAGACTTGGGCAATGAAATCGGAGCTTTCTTCGTGACTGGCGACGTTTTCCCAGCGATCCGAGCTGAGAGTGAACCTATAATGAGAGGTCCCAGGGGTCACAGATGTCCAAAGCAATTGGATGTTACAATTTGTTTTTGGCCAACGACAAGTCAATTTGGGGTTACATGCCCTCGAGAGAGCAAACTTCAAAGCCTTAAAATCACTTGGAAAACTCTTTTTAATCTTTAAATTAAGAAGATACTAAAAGAATACAGTCCTATGTTTAGCATTTTCCCTCGAAGTTCAAAACTTTCCCACCATTTAAAATATTAATTAAATTTTTAATATAAACCTAAGGAGGAGAGTCCACCCAATTCCTAAGTAGAGCATGAAACTGCTCTTAATCTTACGCTACCTAATTAGTTTATCTACCATTATAATTTTTAATTGGCTTTGCCCGGCCACAAAACAAGAAGGAAAATGCTGTGCCACAGAAGCGGGAAAATTTCAATTGTAATTTTATGCAACACGCAGCCGCAAAATGATTTTCACAGCAAATTATGCGGCCAACCGCAGTTGGAGCCATGGAACATGCAACATGGATTTCCCACGCATGCCCCCAATGAATGGAAATCAAGAGGGAATATATAGTTATATATGTATATAGAAGAAGCAACTTCCGCGAGTTAGCCCGCCGCAGAAGTAAAAGAAGAGACTGAAATTTGCGTTTTTGATTAAATCGTGGGATAGATCAAAGCCACCTTATCAGAAGTTGGCCAAGCAGGTGAACTGGTCGGAGGCAATGTTTTAACCAACGTGGGACTGAGTCTTTAAAGGTGTTCAGGTTTAAGTTAGTTCTATGGGAGAAGCTTTTGTGAGAATAAAGCTTCCAAGAATGACGGAAGTTAAACCTGATGAAAGGCAGAGATTGGCTTTCAGTGTTGATGGATTTATGGACCTGAACTTGTGCTAGTTTATTTTATTGATTTCAGGCTTCTGCTAGTTAAAAGGAAATGCCAACAGGACTTTGGAAAGTCATTTTGTAAGTATATAATAAAATCTAAAGTGAAATCAAAGAAGAAGTTGCAGAATCTTGTGAAGTGTTCAATCATCTCGGCACAGTTAATGGCACTGGAAGAATTCACGGGGTAATTTCTATACAACCCGTGATCTCTTAGTGGCATCTATGGTGCGGGATTAAAACATCCAAAAGTTGAAAAAGTATTAATACGAACTGCATTAAACCGGTATCTCGGCGAGAAACCCAAATTAATAATTAGAGCGGAGTCATTAGCACCTCGAAAAAAAAAACAATCTAATTCATAAATATATGGAAACCAAAGCCAGAGAAAACCTTTCAAAAAATAACAAAAAACAATCTTAGAAAGAGAAGTGAGTGGATCAGATGGAGGTATTGGATAGTTGACTTGGTCGGACATGAAGGCAGCCTTGAAAAATCACCTTTCACACCGCCTAGAGTTGCCGCTTCTCGCTCTCTTATATAGTTTTTTTTTTTTGTTTAGCCCACAATTAACAGTTCAATGAACCAGGCCGACTACTCTTGGCAGTCCCTTAAAGTTCCAGCCCAGCGGATGGAAGAAGAAACGAGCGCACAAAGTACCAATCTCCCAAAGAATAGCACAAAACCCATGGATAATAGCCCAATGGAGCTGTTGGGCATGCCATCACTACAACAACAACAACAACTCACATACACTTAAAAAATCCGAGAGTGAGAGAGGTAAAAAAAAAAGATAATTAACTTTTTTTCTTTTAGCACTAAGTATGCCAAAGAGGAAGCACTAACAACAACAAATTACAACACATTACAATGGAAGGGGGGTCAGCGAGTGTGAGAGAGTTCCCTTAACTAAAGGGTTACCCATTACCCATCTCTTTCTGCCTCAGTATAGACGTCTCTTCTCCCTACCCGTCGTCGCTAAACGCTTCAATGATTTTGTCATGCATAAATTTTGCAGGTTTGCTGAAATTTCTTCACTCTTTTCTGCCAGCCAAGAAGAATCAAATAAATTCCGGCAGAAAACTCTTTTTTTCCTTTCCTACCTTCTGGTCAAGTTCCGCTCGAGCACTTTTTGAGGCGGCAAAGGGGTCTTATAATGATGATGCTTCCTGTTTGCCAGCCACACACATACATATATATATATATATATTTATGAGACACCTTCGGCGCTGATATATCCCACAGACGGAGCTACAATTGAAATTTGTACTTAATTAAGTCTGGTACGGCGATTCGGTTTTTCTTTTGATCTTCGACTGTGAAGGAATTCCGAGAATTAGTCATGTTGTGCGATATTTTCAAGTCATTATTGGCTTTAGATAACAGAGCTGTATTTAACATTCTTTAAATATTAAATTAATAAATATTTTTTAAAAATAATAGTAGAGTTTCGAAACCAACAACAATAGCCTTAGATTTTTGGTACAAGCTATAATGTGGAATGTAACTCAAAAGTTTTATAAACTCTCAGATAATCCTTGATTAAAAGGGCATTAAAACTTTATAATGAACAATAACTAATCATAAAATATATAATATGTCATTAATAAAATCAATACAAAATAAGAAAACCCTTGTCTTTTACCTTTTGGTCAACAAATAACTAAACTTAATGAGTTTTCAGTTGACAAGCAAGTCCATATCTCGACAGATAACAATATGGCTAACAAGCTTTGTCCAAGTTGTACATTTTCCTGTTAAATAAATGATATTCTTAATACGATCAGCATTCCATTGTTCTTTTATATTAGTTACGGGAAAAAATCCAGCCAGATGGCAAAAAGGAAAACAAATTGATTGGCGGCAAATGGTTTAAATTTCTGCATAATTCAATGCGCACGCGTTCTGGTTTTAGTTTCGGCAATTTTCTTCTCCTTTATTTTTCTTACAGCCACAGCTGCAGAAAATGGTCAAGAAAACCTGGTGGATCATAGCGAGAAGGGAGATGGGGTGTGGGGTGGTATGTTGTTGGGCCTGCTCCGATTCGCAATCATTAAATAGACGACAGGCGAAATCGAAATTGCAGTGCCAAAGTTGCCGCCTGCTGTTGCGGCAGTTGCTCTTTTTTCCTTAAACAGTGATGGGAAAATTATTTTACCTACTAAGGTACCAACTAGATATGCTAGTAAGTACTAAATAAAATAAACAGATTAACCTAAATATACCCCAACTATATAGGATTTATGGTAAATTTTAAACGATAGTTAGTTATCCTTGGAATTGTTATCATCAGGGAGAACATTTTAATCATACATTTTTATTTAGTTATTTTAAATATTTCCATAAAAAACATATGTACCAAAGTAAGGAAAAGCTTTAACACACAATTTGTACCTTGATCCTTCCCATCACTGGCTGTGGCATGTTGTTGTTGCTGGGTTGTTGGGAAAATTTGAAAATTACCTTTAATCAGAGCGAAAATGAGATGGCTAATTTGAGTGTGCCGGAATAGGAATCTGGCTGGAAAATGGAAAATGTCTGTGACTGTGGGAATTGCCGTTCTTGTCATTTTGGTCAGTGGGAAAATGTTTTTTTTTTTTTTTTTGGCGTGGGTGGGCAACAGAGACAGCAGCTGTGCGTTGGAATCTTAACTTGATGAGAACTGGACTTGGTTCACATAAACAAAAGAAGTCATTGGCCATGTTATGCAAAATTGACACACGGCAAGAAAAGTTCGAACGGTTGCTATGCCCTGACATTGGCTGAGTCTTTGGCTCTTCAAAGCCAAAGCTAATACAATCTTAACTACATACCTTCTATAAGCTTATCCTAGTCAAGGATTATCTTTTCCAATATAATAAAAAATTTTGAAATATGTTTTTATATTTTTCAAAATTTTCTCTCTGTGCAGACAGAAAGAGAGGCAGCTAGCACGCGTTTAGCTCGCCTGTTTTGATCTATGAGCTGCGATTACGAGGCGCAGCTAAAAGCTGCACAAATAAAGCGCGGCGATCTCCACAAGTTGATCCCCAAGTGAGGCAGCTGCTGCATTTTTTTTATATTTTGCTCTCTGATGCTGCCAGCAGTTGCAAATGATGATGAGGCAGCGGCAACAATAACAGCAACCACAGCAGTAACAACAAAGCGGCTCAGGCTAGGAGGCCATGACAAGCGACAAGTTGTCGTTAGGCCCAAAATTAGATGCATTTTGTATGCCAGGCAGAGATCGCTGGCAAGAGCAATAGTTTACACTGAGGGAAACAAGAGGAATAAGGCACTCAAATTGTATATAAGAGAAATCGAGGAATGTAATTCTGAATAAAAAAGTTTGAGATGAAACTTCTTCTCCTAACCTTTCTGCCTTCCGAAGGTTAGTTTGATTATTTCTTAAGACTAGCATTTATTGGAACTAGAAACATCTTAAGAAAAGCCAAGTTTGTCATAAAACTTAATTATTGTATACTTTTAAGTTTTGCTTTAAATTTTAAAGTTAAACCAAAAAAGTTCTTAATTTTTCCGCTGTGTTTCCATTCACCTATGTGGGAAAGAGAAGGCCAGAGAGCTGGCTGGCTGCAGTTATGGGCTTAGGGTAAACATTTGGCGACGCATCAATGCAGCTGGCCAAGAGCAGCAACAACAACAACAGCAACACCATTGAAAACACCATCCACCAACAACAACATAAGCTGCGAATACAACTCAGAGCTTGTGGAGTGTGCAAATATTTTAGCAGCAATTTTCAGCTTAAATGCCTGCAAAACGAGGCGCATCGTGTGCCCAACAGCTCTTGGCGGTTCAGAGGTTTTTCTTTATACTTTATTTTTCCCCTCTAGCATAGGGTAAGATAATTATGTCTAGCAGCTGTTTATTATAATTTAAAGTCTAAAATATCTTCCCAATTTATTATACAACCGATAAATATATCTTGTAAAAACCCTTTTCTTATATATAGCAACCAATTAGTGGGAACCACCGCAAAATGGGACTCTAATTTCGATTACCTAGCAATCAATTAATATCTAAAATGAGCTATAGAAATTGTCCATGGCCTTATAATCAGATAGTTCAAGTGCAGCGGCCCTATCCCGTTCTAAATTTTTCTCTGTAGTTCGGGGAATTTCCTAGCCGCAATTAGTAAGCGGCGTACACGTGATGGCAATGACTGTAGCTATCGGTTCACAGAGATCAATGCAAAACAGATACCCAGCTCTCAGTTCCCAGACTTCGCAGCACCCATATTACGTCAATGTGTGACGACATCAAAGCGGATCTTTTGATCTTAATATAAATTTATCTTTTTTCTATTCTTCAGGCATTTCCGTTTCCTACTAAAGTGTTTGTCATGGCTTACAAAGAAAATGTATAAAAAATAAAATGTATTATTAATACTTATTTTTAAGCTGTGAATGCTGTATATTTTGCTGTACTACTTAAATTATATTTTTGATGTATGTTCTTAAACTGTGTCTGTCTGATTTAATTTTTTTTCATTAAGTCTGTACCTTTCTTTTTTATTGATAAATTAATATATATTAATTTCGGAGCAATTATAATAAGTCACAATGGCTCCCAAACTGTGTGGGTTTGAATCTATGGTCAAGTTGTTTTTAGTCTAGACGCCAACCTATGTGGTGAGTTCTATTGACTGTCTGAAGTAAGATGTAGAAATTGGTATAGCATCAGTCTTTCAATCATATTTCGGTTTTTGTTTATAGGTATTTGATTTTTTGTTCTTCTTTTTAATGTTCTGCATTACGTATGTTAAAATATTGCATAATCATTAATATTAATGGCTGTTATGGACCGAAACATTCTACTCTTTTACGTACTCAATTTTCAACTTTTGAATCTGATTAATTTTTTCAAAGTACTTAGCTGTAGCCATTTTGGCTCTTAGAGCTGCTTCATTTAAATCGTAAATCGAAAATTCGTGATATTTATAACTAAAGGATTTCTTCTGTCCCTCAACAAACTGATTTTGATTTTGAACACACTTCGGGCTTATAAAGTAAGGCAGTTTCATGGTGTTATGCTGAGGTTTACTCTTTGTTCCTCTGATTCTTCATTACGTCTCACATCTGGTTCAATCAAAGTCGGGAATCCGCGACATTGGTTCCAAGGCCAATTAAAAAGCTGAAATTTCTTCGTGTTCCCTCTCATCTTGGTCAAAATTTTTTCCTTGGAAACTGCTAGGAAAATAGGAAGTTGTAACGGATTTTCGGGGTGATGGGCAAAAGTCAAAAGGGGTCGCTTACTAGCTTAGTTCGTTTCGTTTTTTCGTTTTTGTGAGCTCCTCGAATTGGGTTTTTCTGTTTCTGTGCTTCCTTGTTTGTGTCCCATGGACTTGACATTCGCAGCGCAGGCAAACTGTTTTTCAGTTTTCCTGCTCTTCTTGTTGTTCTTTTCCCACTTTTCCGCTTTCCTTTTTCTGCCAATGTCAGCCCATTGTCGAGCCGAAGGGCTTAAGGGAGCCAGGCTGCGCTTTTGATGAACTTTTAAGTGATTTCCTGGCGAAGGACTCACGGGCGTCATGCACAACAGCTGCAAGTAGCTCACCATGACTTTGGATGTCACTGAAACTACGGCTTTGTATTTAATTTGTTGAATTTTGACGTAAACCGATGTTGAGCCTCTAAAGGTGATGGGCTTTTAAGTGATATAAGGATAGCACAGCTATGTAAATATTTTTACAAATATATACTTTCTTAAACTAAACTAACTTCAGACGATAAAAAAGCTTCTCCATAGCCACATAGAATATTCCTTAATCGAACTTCGTATCAGCTGACCGCAATTTTCATTGGCCTCTGATGGGTTTTCATTAGCTTTTGCCACTTTGTTGCTGCCTCACCATCTTTACAACCTCACCCAAACTCACCACCTCAGCCTGACCCCCTCCACGTAACCACTCAAGTGCAACTTTATTTTTAAGTGTACGAGAGACAAACTTTATGGAATGGAGAAGTAAACTTTTCCAGCGTTTTCCCATCTTCCTCTACCGAGTGTTTATTATTAAAAAATTTGTAGCCATTTGCTGCCCTAAAGAAACTTGGCTTCAGGGTTTATGGCCAAGTTGCGTGCACACGTGTCCATGAAGGTTGAGTTGTTGGACACAGAAAAGGGGGAAGGAAAGAGGGGGGCAAACTCATGTGTGAGACTGCAGCATCCATGACCAAAGTGTCAGAGTCCATAAAAGGCGATTAGGGTCAACTGGCTGTGGCTAGTTGGCCAGAAGGAGTGAACAAGCCAAAAGAAACAAAATCCCAGACCACCTGTGGATGTCTCTCAAATCTGCTGGGAAGTTAGTTGCATTTAATTGGAGGTTGTCATAAATTAAGAATGTTAACTAAAAAACGTTGTCCTTTGTTTGCAAAAGAGCATGCAGGATTCGTTCTGCAGTCTTCCATATATATTCTGGTTTATTTTTTTTTTACGTTTTCACATTGATGCAGTTGACTAACTATAAAGTAACACAAAGACAATTAAACTTAGGACTAAAGTTAGCAGGAAAGAAAGCGTTAGGGCTTGGCAAAGTTTGCTGTATGCGTTAGTTGAGACAAAAAGCTGATAGAATCACCAAAATCCCCGATTCTAGGCTAAGTAAACACAAGATTCCATCTAGATCTTATGAGCTAAACATATTCGTGGTCCGGTTGGCAGATCGCTGAGGTCGCTGGTTGACTTTCGTTTGAGTTCAGTTGAAATTTTGGGTTGGTTTTCGAGAATTAGTTGTGGATTTACCAGTTCTTAGAGCGACGTTCGGCGCTGTTGGAACGCAGTTCCTCGCTCTCCCTTCGGTTATCCTCACGATCATCCTAGTCTGTCCAGCTGCCAGAGATCGTTGTTCAGCAGGCGACGTCCATTGGACCAGCTCAAGGCGGCTCCAGCTCTTGCGGCATTACCATTCAGCCGGGTGCTTATCAATCCGTTCAGATTTCCAGACTCCAAAAGCAGAGGCGAGCTGATCAGCTGGGCTTGTACAGTGGCACTTGAGGGCTGGCTAAGAATCAAAGGTTGAGAGCTACGATCGATGGTGATGCGTGCATTGGGCAACTGGCGCCAGGCCTCCAGATCGCGTTCCCTGGTCAACAGAGTGGTGGTTCTGGAGGTGCTGGTGGTGGCGGGCAGACGGGAGGCGAGCAAAGTGGGTGGATGGGAAACGACGGTGGCTTGGATGCTGGGCAGGCTTTGGGCCAGGAGAAGGGTCTGCTGATCGAGCAATCGCTGGTTCTGACTTTGACGACGTTCGGCTTGCTGGCGGCGATCCTCACGATCACGTTGCTCACGATCACGCTGCTCACGTTCACGGAGTTCACGATCACGCAGTTCACGTTCACGGAGTTCACGATCCCTAAGTTCTCGCTCACGTTGCTCACGCTCCCGCTGTTCCCTCTCTCGCTGCTCACGTTCCCGCTGCTCACGGTCCCGCTCCTCGCGATCACGCTGCTCCTGGAGACGCTGGAGATCCCTCAGTTGCTGTTCCTGCTGTTGACGTTGCTGCTCCTGCTGTTGCACCTGTTGCTGAAATTGTTCCATGAGCTGCTGGGCCTGGTTACGTGCCTGGTTCTCCGAGTCCCGACGACTCTGGGCCTCCAGCTGCAGTTGACTAGCCTGTTGGGCCTCGGCCAGGGATTGGGCTTCAGCGATGGCCTGGGCAGTGAGACGGGTCTGCAGCTCCTCGAGGCTATTGAAACGGGACGAACTGGAGGTCGAGATCCTTTGCTGCTGCTCATCCAGACGCTGCTTGGACACGATGGCATTGAAGCCACTTACATCATCGGCCGTGTACTCCACAATACGCCGGGTGCCATCGGGTTCGATCAGGGAATACTGACCCTTGACCAGGTCGCCATCACGTTTCTCCTCCTGGCGTTTGTCATCGCCAGTCAGTGAGTCCCTTACATCATAGGCGAAACTGTACTGGGGGCGACTGTCATAATCTTCATTGGAATTAGGTGCCAGAGTGGTGGCATCATCATCATCGTTGTTGTCATCTCTGTTGAGATCACCGCGAATGTTGCTGCTGCTGTTGGAGGCTGGAGGATTTGGTGAGCTGGCTAAGATCGATTGGGCGCAGGAAGGCCGAGTTGGCCACATTGCAGGTCAGCAGGCTCAGGCAGAGCAACAAGTATGTCTGGGGAATAGAATCAAAAATGATTCACACAGGATTCGAATTAAATGGCTGTCCGTTATAAATCACCCGCTAGCCTCATCAATTTGTCATTCTAGAATGGTTTTTCCTTTTTTATTTGTTAGTTGCAAGGGGTCATAAATTAAAAAGGACAACAAGCGTTTCATGTTACTGAACAAAAAGTTGTCCGGATTGGGGATTTGTTGGTTTGTCTGACTCTATTGGCTGTCAAGTTGGCAAAAAAGAAAAAGCTTAAAGGTCTGGAACAATACTACAAAATATTACACTGTTAAATGCGGAGAGGTAGTTTTTGATTCATATTTCATCTTTTAAAAAATATTCATTTATATTAAAGTTTCTGATAAGGAGAGTCTATCTAAGATTATAAGCTTAATTTATAAAATCTCTGCTTTTTAGTTTTCCTTATAGACAGCTATAATCCCAGCTTGATTGTCAGCATTCCCCCAGGGCATTAACCCTCTTTATCCCAACCAAACTCTGTTGATTTTCATTTGGTTTATGCCATTTCTCTGGGATTCTAAATTGGCCTAATACGCTTTGGCCTTTATCGTTTTGTATTTTTGATTATCCTGATTTATGGGCCCCAACTTCCACTTTGCCGGATTTACATGGCGGCAGAACAACAAGGGAGCTTCGGGAAAATTTATGGCCGGCAGCGGTTGACGGAAAACTTACCCGTTTCATGGCTGGTGACGTTAAGTATTCGACTAGTTGGTTGCTGGTTATTTGTTTGCCTGCTGCTGCTATTGCTGATGCTGTTGGCGAACTGATGCCATCTCCATCCTCCACTGGCCATTTTATAATGGCATGGCAAAAAAGGGCCCATCGCCAGAACCTGACCACACCTGATATGGCACCCTGGCACCAAGCTTTCAAATTTGTTTAGTTAAGGTTACAAATGACCTTCCCGAGGCATAGATACAGATAAATTGGAGCTGCAATGCAGCAGCATTCACTTTTCAGCCACCGCTACGTTTCAGTGGCAACACAAAAATTGTCACCCATTGGCCAAAAACGATGAGGGAGGATGGTGGGGGGTTGGCGCTTATGAAAATGGTCGGCAAACATTGCGTACGGAAATTGGAAATAGGCCTGCACCGGAGACAGTCTTTGTTGCGCTTTGGTCTCATGAATTTGAAATTTTGTAATCCCTCATCCGCTCCAGATCCGATTGCAAAATGTTCGAAACAAGGCATGGGCTGGTAGGAAAAAACAAAGCATAGGAGGGAAATTTGATAGGTGGCCGCAAGTAAAAGAGGCGCCAGGCTGGAACGGTCAGTTTAATGGACTTCCACTGTAACCAGGCACACTTTATCGATTATCTCGATTCATTATCCGACAGGTTTTTCATCATGCGTAGTAACCAGAGCCCTGGCTCATTTGTTGTCTTTTGCGGAGAGATTGTAGGAAGTGCAGACTTGGTCAGCGGATGTGGTAGGTTTTTTTTAGGAGGCTTCTCTGGTTTTACGCAATGAAGGTGATTTTGGACATGACAGACATTGGGTTTGATATAACATTCAGAACTAAGCTTTCAAGTTAAAAGAAACTATGACAAAAGAAACCGAAAAAAGTTTGACATTTCATTAGATAAGTTTTTCCTTCAAAAAAGTAATTCTAATATAAAATATATTTTTTAATCCTACATTTGTCATTATAATTAGTATTTATACAACTTAAAAAAGAAATATACCCCTCATAAATTCTAAAAAAAAGAAAAGCCATGACTTTGCACCGATACTGCATTGGTTTTATTTACAAAAGCCATTAAATTTGACATAGCACAAGGGGTGGAAACGACTATAAATATAAATAATAACCAAAAGATTAATGCTTTGAATCTTAAAGTACCGTTTTATGAGATACTCATATTTGTGGCACTTACACACCCACACACATTAATGGGGGCAAGTTAAGTCGGTTTAGGACGCGACACTGGAACTGGCGAGCGTGCTAACTTTATCAGCTGGAAAAACAAAAGTAGAGCCAGCAACAACAACCAGGACCAGAACATCTGTGTCAGTGCGTATAAAAACAAAAAGAAATCTCCAACGTGATCCAAACAAAGGAGCACCAACAATAACAGGAGGCGGCCAAAGGAAAGCCCAAGCAAAAAAGCCAACTGGCTGGAAAAAATTGTCATGCATGACTAAAATACAAGAGTAAGAGCAGAAGTGGCGCTGCACTGCGAAAATATAAATCAAAGGTGGTTTATCTTGGAAGAAAAGTAAATCTAAAAAATTAATAAACATTTAATTTGTAATTTTATTTTAAGAATTTTCAAAGATTTAAAATTCTTTGCAAAAAATATGTACAAAAAAATATTTAAAATGTTCTGATTTTTCGGAAACATTTTTGTTACGCCTCAGATTGAGTTAATTTACAGAAACCATGGTGGAAAATTCCATGTTTTTCCCCAGTGCGAAAACTGCAAAAAAAAAAAGCTGAAGGCCTGATCCGCTCTGTTATTCATGCCGTGGAGCATAGTTTTAGGCGCCGCCAGTTCGGTTGTCCAACATGTTGGACACTTTTTCCAACAGCCCCTCTTCTTTATTTTTGCAACCTCCTATCCAACCATGCCCCTCATCCACGACCAGCTTTGTTTGTCTTTGATGCGCGTTTTTCGCTTGTTTTTCTACCGCTGGACGGGGGGGAAATTGAATGGCCAACAGCCGAGAGAGTCGGCCACGTTGTAATTGAGTTGGCCGTGTGGAATGGGAAAATAGTTTTGCCAATTCCGACACGAATCGCATTGCAGCTGTACACGGAAAATCCCTATCCCTACGCCTTGTCTGGCCCAATTTGCCAGCGGGTAATTAATCATTTTTCACTTTTCCACTCGATACGGAAAATGCGCCCAACAATTTCTCACAATTTGCAACTGCCAAAAGGCAATTACAAGCGACACATTTACTGTATTAGCGTTCATTAAATAATCAATTGCAATTGCTACTGCAATTTCAATTAGGTTTTCTGCTTTCATTAGCAGGGCATTTATTTATTGGAATCAATTTGAAGGCCAAATATGGTTGAAATAGCAATTTGAAGGGTTTTCATGTTGAAATTTTATATTTCAGAGAAAGTAATTGACGGAGTTTTAATTTTTATTTACTTAAAGAATATATAACTGAGGTTGGTTTACATTAAAGATTCAGATCTATATAAGCCTTAACCATAAAATGTTTTATTAGTATCTAATCTCCATCTTTTAGTTGCCAATAAAAGGACATCAGAAAAGCAGCCAACAAATATTTTTGTAGTGTTACTCTCCGAAATTTTCCTATGTCTTAAACTAGCTTCCAGCTATTCTCAATCTCAATCTCAAAACCTATGCAAATACATTTCTCTTCATTAAAATTGGAATATTGCATATATTACGACTAACTAGAAAAACATTCTGTTGACTTTTATGGAAAATGCAGCAAACAATAACAAAGAAAACGAAATGCAACGAAAACTGTGATTGCTTTAGTGTGGCATCTACAAACTGAATGCCGCAGGGCTTGACAATCAAATTGTGTTTTTCGGTCAGAGACGGCAGTTAAGCTTTTTGGGACGGGGAGTATGGTCACCAGATCGCAAATCTCCTTTTATTTACAGGAGGTGGAGTAGGGATGGCATTTAAGGTCCCGATGTCACCAATGCCAAAGCTCTGATTGAGTGGAAGCCTCTCTACTGGGGCCTTTTTAGACAGACAGCCCGGGCTCGGTTGAGTGTTTCAATTTATTTTTCATATTTTTGTTTAACCGCTTTTTGTTTTACTTTCCTATTTCAGTCGGGCCAAATCCCCCCGTGGTTCGCGCACAAAATGCCAAAAGTTAAAATAAACAGTTGAGCGGAGTAGCAGGAGGACCAGTAGTCAGGATTCAGCATCCTGGAGCCGGCAGCCAGCAGCCAGCAGCCAGGACAACATGCAGGAAGGCAGGAAACACTTGAAAAAGTATGCCAACAATATTTCTGCCATCTCTCTCGGCACTCGGCTCTCGGTGTCTGTGTGCTTTTGTGCTATTGAAAAGGAAATGAATGGCAGGCAGAAAAAGTTAAATCACCTCCAGCAATTGGGCCTGCTGTGGCGGCTCCCAACTCTAGATGGCTCTGGTGGGTAAGGTTGTGGGACTAGGTGGTAAAGCTATGGATTGCTTGGGTATTTCGAGTGATGCTCCCTGGGGTGGCGTATGCGCAATATTCGCGCTTCGGCCTCTAAGCTGCGGCCTGAGCCACGACAGTTGTCGCATTTTCCTCTTCAGTTCTACTGTTTGATTTTATTTTATTTTTCGATTTGGTTTTGTTTTTCGATTTTCTATTTGCCGTGGGAAATTGCTTTCAATAATGACGCAAAGTGTTGCTGGGGGGACATTTTAATGGCTGCTTGGGTTCGGCAGATAGCAGGGCTCCATCTGGAGGCGACAATTCGAACTGACACAACCCTTATCGCACTTCTCGCAATGCACTGAGAAAAATAGTATGTTAAAGGGTTGGAAAATTGATGTAGAATAAAGTAAAAAATATACAAAATTATAGTATTGCCTTATTAAAAAGTTTCTAAAATTAACAAAATTAGTTTAAAAAGAAAAAGGATAAAAAAAATATCAAAATATTCTCCCAGTGGACTCGACATCACTTCAGGCAATTTGTACGCACTCATCGTGGCGTTGGCATCAATAAATTGCCACGGGTGTGGTGCGAATCCTTGCGTGTCCTTGGCCACACACGCTCACACACCACACTCCTTGCCACGAGTCCTTGGTCAAGGCGCCTCTTTCCCGGATACTTATGCCGTCCGTTGTCCATTGCACTTTTCCGGCGTGCAACGCCAAGGGCTTATACTCATTTGCATTTCGAACGAAGAGCTCGCTGTCCATTGGAATATTTTTTAATATATTTTTCATTTCCACGGCAGCACATACTCGTTGCAAGAGGGCTTTCCTTTTCGAGATGCTATTATGTTGCATCTTCACAACATTCATTGAATCAGTCTCATGGTTGCTTTGTTCTGCAAAAATTCTCCAGTGATTTTACACACTTTTGGAATTATGACAAAGAAAAGGCATTACTTCTCTTTTTTATATTTTATGAAAGAAAATTTATTACATTTTTGCAGAGAACAGGGTATTCAAGATTTCAATTAACTAAGCTTGCGCCAAGCATCAGCGAAATGTAATGCAGTGGAAACCTTTCGGAATTCAATTATTCCCGCTTGGCGAGAGTTTTAATTAAAAATCAGTCATAAAATGTGCGTGTGAGCTCGGGCTGCTTAAAAATTGAACATCGATACGTTGAGGCTTTTAAGTTTGATTAAATTTCGTGAGATAAAAAGGCGTTTGGATCACGTACACATTTTTGGTGCGCCCCAAGATGGCCCTAAAAAAACGGGGCCCAAAGACTCTTGTCATAAGTCAATAAACGGAAAAAAATGAAAATTGTTGAAAAGCTAGAACTCGGCAAATACGCTGTGAACCAAAAATGATTATAAAAAACCCAATTCAAGGACGAATTCCAGACAATGATAAATACAATTTACATGCATTTTATATGCTATATACTAAATATATATATATTTCCCATTGATTGGCATACATTTTTTATTTTAATTGCAATAACAACAACACCACCAAGCAGCCAGATTTCATTGAGATTTATGCAAGGCTTACAATAACACACAATAAATATACACACACAAACCGAAATCAGAATAAAAATTGTGTATACGTAAACAATTTATTTCACTTTTAATGTTCCATTGTTCATTCGAACGAAAGACCAGAATTTCCGTGTGCCAAACTGTTTATTTGCGTATCGCGACTGGGCCAATTAATGAAATTTAATTTTTGCGCGTTGATTGCCTCACTTTTCAGGGGAGGGTGGTGGTGGTGCAACAATCAATAACAATATGGCGGCAGGGGTTATCCAATTAATTAACCATCCCGCTCTATATACCTTTTACCCGCACTACGACGGCAAACAGAGAGTAGGCCATCTTTAGAGTGGCGAAGAAGGCATTCAGATTGAGTTCAATGAGGCCTCCTGCCTTAATCACCAGCCGCTGGCTCCCCAAAGTCAATTCGGTGAAAATGAGCAAATCAAAGCGATGTTCCCTCGGTTGGTTATACCATCTGCTGGAGAAAACTGCATAAGGCAATCCTTGGATCTCTTCTGCCACTTCGCTGGCAAAGTAACAGCTGGGAAAGAGCTGCACACAGACAACGCCAAAGAAGACCAAATAGTAGACCAATGAAATGGTGTCGCCCACGTAGAACAGGACGTAGGAAACAATGATGCAGAGGGTAGCGCCACAGCCACACAATTGGACGAGCTGCACCTGGCTGATGGTCCGAGCAACTAGGTGATGGAATCTGTAAGTTCTCTTAAAGATTTAGGCTTTAATTTGGTAGTCAACTAAAAGCGTTTACCTCACCAACAGCTTATGCTGCTCAATGTACTCTCGCAATCTTCGATGATTATAGGTACTTTCCTTCTCTAAGAATCCCAGCTGGGCCATTCTTATTGACCACAAATGGAGATGTCCAGCCAGTAGACACAAAGTCAATGGGGTATAAGTATCGTTTCCCAATCCCTGCAAGCCTTCTACTAGAATACTAAATACCTGATAGCCCAAGGCCACAGCAGCAAGACATTGATTCCTCTCCAAGTCAAAAGGGAAATAAGCGGGGTATATAAGATCGAAAGTTCCGCTAAAAATCTGAACAATCACACCCAATAGAAAAACCGCATAAACCATGCCGAAACTTATGTAAAGACACCTTGTGAACCGTTTGGCATGGCATTTCACATGCTCCTGGTAATACCGATGCTCCTGTTCGCTGGAAATAAATGTATCCAACTGACTAATCAGCGATTCAATCTCCACAATCTCCGGCAGATGATACAAGTGGGCCACATGCTTCAGACTGCAGGACACACAGGTCAGTGACATGGTAAGATTCTTCAAGAGGGCAGCCGGCGAAGGATGTAGCAGAAGATGCAAGAGCAGATGCAGTGGAAACCACAAGGTGACCAGGGAATGCAACAACACCACATACAGCCTGACGAGACGTGGGGAATCCTTGAAGAAAGTCGGCACTAGAATTCGCATGCAGATCGAGAATGGACGATAAAAACGAACACTAACGATGATGACCATTGTCCACGGAATGGATACACGTCGCTGAGGTTGCAGTTTTTATGCAGCTGCCTTGGCAGATACACTGAGAGAAATCAGATCTTCTTGGACATGGAATATTTTATTTAATATTTTATTTTTACTATTTCAATATTTGGGAAAAACTTTAAGACACCAACATTTTCCCGTATTTAAAGCTGGTTTAAATGAAAAAAAAAACTTTCAATATTTTTTTAAGTGTAGATTTTTCAGGTGCATAATCTGCCGCTAAATGGCATTTAAACGCCGCCAATGCAATTTTCATAAAGCCTCCGTTAATGACCGCCATTAGTGGCAATTAAAATTAAGCGAATGTGCAAATGGCCACGCCAATCGCCCCACGGGCCCACTCATTATCGCAGCGACATGGCCAAAGTGAAGAAGGAGTAGGCCAATCGCACGGTGGCAAAGAAGGCATTCATCCCAATGCCAATCATTCCACCAGCCTTAATCTGCACCTCTGCCAGGGTGAGTTGCATGAATATCAACAGGGTGCGGCAGTATCCTCGATCCATTCCCAACCAGTTGCTAGAATATATAGCATAGGTCAACCGATTCATCTCCACGGATATCAGAGTTCCATAGTAGCAACAGGGGAATAACTCCAGCACCATGGACACGAAATATACTCCATAGTAGGTCACTGCAAAGTTGTTTTCGGCAAAAAACAATATGTTAACTAGTGTAATGGATATATTAACTCCACTTGATATAAACTGGCCGAGCTGGGACATATTCATGGTGCTGCGCAGAAGTTCCACAATTCTGTAAAAGGAAAGTTGTGTATTTTAAAAGATATTTATAAATTTAGAATAAATTGTTTACTTCATTAACTTCCTGTGGTCCTCAATACTTTCTACTAACTGCTTTCCAATAGAAGCCTGGCTCTCCTTTTCATCCTGACCTATCCTACTTAATCGCATTGCCAGAAGTCTGACATGGCCGGCAACCACGCAGAATGTCATTGGAGGATATGAGTCATTGGCCAGATTCTGAAGTATCTGCAAGCTAACTCCTGCTATCTGATAGGTTACACTTAGCCAAAATCGTAGTTCTGATTTCTGGACATCGTAGGGAAACCAAGCGGGATATAACAACTTATGTCCACCACCGAACAGAACTGTTGATATTGCCGAAACATTCGACAGTCCATAGGCCACAATGAAACTTTTCCAAATGAAATTCGCCTCACGTCTGGTGTTTTGATTAAAAAACTGGCATTCCTCGTGACTCACAGCTCGTTGGTCCAGCTCTTTAAACAGGACCTCAATGGTCTTAATCTCTGACAGCTTCAGGCGGAAGCAAATAAATTTAAAGCTGGCAAAGAAGCAGGCAGCTGTGATTGGTAGGCCTTTGCAGACATCAACGAGGGTTCTTTCCATAAAGAGGCCAAGGATTAGATGAATTGGATACCAGACAGTGACGAATACTGTGATTAGAATATCCAGCAATCGATTTAAGATAAAACTGCTCTCCAAGCCCAATAGCCGCCAATATAACCAATAGGCTCTGTATATGTCTTCACTTCTGATGACTTGTCCTGACTTTAAATCCATGTTCGAAACACTTGACTTAGATCCTGTGGCATTTCCTCTTTTTATACTCGGTTCTCAAGTAAATTATAGTCTCTTAATGGCACGCCCTAGAATTTAATAGCCCTGGGCTAGACCTGTAATTTGTGGTTACCAATTCACACCTAAACTTAGGTAACAATCGTCTGGCTGGCTAAAATGATAAAGTTATTAAAAATTCGTAGGCGTTAGCGTGAATAAATATTTTGGGTGGAGTTGGGATAGCTTTTTATTGATTTAGGATTGATAAATAGGGTTAATATTTATATAAAAATGTTTGAAAAACATAGGTAATGCTGTCATTGAGAGACCTAAAACCTATCTAAAAGACATCGCCAAAGTGTAAAACGAGTAGGCCATTCCGCACTGTGGCAAAAAGGCACTCATGTCGATGCCAACAATTCCGCCAGCTTTAATATCCACTGGGATAAGCGTTAACTGCATAAATATTATCAAGGATCTGTTGTATCCTTTATCCATTTTAATCCAATTGCTTGAAAAAATGGCATATGGCAATTTGTCAAACTCCATCATCATCAGAGTTCCATAGTAGCAACTTGGAAATAATTCTATCAACATGGCAGCAAAAAACACAGCATAGTAGATCATTGTAAAGTTATTCTCAGCAAAAAAGAGGATGTTAACGAGTGATATGGAGATGTTGATGCCACTGGATAGGAATTGGCCAAGTTGGGGAAGGTGCAAAATACTCCTAAGCAGGCGAATTATTCTGAAAGATTAAAGAAAAGAAGAAAATATGTTTAAAATTAGCTAAAAACCCTGTTAGCCTCACTTTTTTCTTACTGCATTAGTTTCCTATGATCCTGTACACCTTCGATTAGCCTGCTTGTATTTTCATTACTTGAAATATCCTCATCATGACCAATCCGACTCAAACGCATTGCCAAGAGTCTTACATGTCCAGTGACCACGCAAAAGGTAATTGGCGGATAAGAATCGTTGGCCAGGTTTTCCAGAATCATCAGACTAGAGCCAACAGCTTGGTAAGTAAAGCTGGTCCAGAAGTTCAAGGCAGTGGCCTGCACATCATAAGGAAACCAACCCAAATACATTAAATTTCGACCACTGCTAAATAAGCCAGCCACAGTTGCAGTTATTATCGACGAAATAGCAGCTACTAAATAGCTCTTCGAAAGCATTTTGGCCACACGACTTGGATTTTCTTTAAAGTAACTGCGTTCTTCTTCACTCCCAGCTCGTTTGTCCAGATCCTGGAGTAATCCTTCGATTTCCTTTATTTCTGCCAGTTTCCAACGAAAGAAAACGAACTTAAAGCTGCAGAATAGGCATTCTATTGTGAAATGCAGACTCCTGAAGATAAGCACCTTCGGTTTGTCATACATTCCCAGGATAAGATGCACGGGATATAGAATGGTTATAAATATGGTCATAGTGAGATCCCATAACCTTCGAAAGGGATACTCCCCCTCGACGCCCAAAAATCGCCAATAGCGCCAATATGTTTCATAGAGATTTTCACTTTTCACGACCTTTTCCGACTCCATATTTTGAAATTTTGAACAATTTATGACACAGCTTTTGCTTTTATAGTGTAGTGTATCATGGGTAGGAGTAATTGTTGTCCTCGCAATTATATTTAATTGCTCTGACAATTATCACCTTTTTGGATATTCGAAGATACATATATGTATATGTAGGAAATGTTAACTATGATGTAAAAATGTAAATAACAATACACTTAGCGAAAAAGCTATTAAGGATTTTCATCACAAACTACTATGGAAGTTTTTGAAGATTTCAAAGTCCTACGATGAAAACTGAAAGAGTTTTTTGTTTTTATAGTCAGTCTTGATTGATTTAGTTTAAGCATTTTCTTACAGTGTTTAACGTAGTTACAGTACATGGAACTTTAATTACACATAATAGGTGTTAAGCAATTAACACCTTTTCATATTTTTATAATTAAATAAAGAAAATACCTTTAAAGGGTTTAATTTTTAAAAAAAAAGTTAATAACAAAGTGTAAAGGCCAGACGCTTGACCTTGTATTATTAAACATACCCTCGAAATAAGTTCCAATCGATTTAAAATTATATACACCCTTGTTTTTGCTGAAGCAAAGCTTACTAAATGGGCAATAAAAAAGCTGTAAAAATGTCGAGAGAAAGTTGCTTCTTAATCTGCATTGCAACTGTTTGGACTTAGTTGCCATAATTTGACATTAAAATCTGCAGCAAACTGCTGGTAAACGTTAGAAAGAGTAAGAGGGAAATAAACTTTGCTTTCCACTAGAAAAGTTACATCTTTTCTTTTGACTTTCCAATGTTTTATTACCACCATCGATTACTTCTGTATGCAAATTTACTAAAAAGACTTTGACTTCGTTTACATTGTCTATTGTCACGCTAAAAAAAACAGTGTCAAGGGAATTTCACACTATTTTAAAAATTTTTGTTTGCTTTTTGGCAATGCTTTTTCAGGCCATGAAGTCAGCTGAAGGCTAGAGGCAAAAAAGGCACGTCTTTTTTTGGTTCCCGCTAACGTTGCGTATACGTAATGTCAAAACGACAATGGTGTGTGAAATACGACCACAAAAAAAAATGTTTAAAAAACACAAGTCACAGAATCCTGGCGGAAGTTGGTTGGTTTTTTGCTCAAGAGAGATTTGCATGGAAATTCTGTGCCACCCTCTTTCACATTTTATTTAATTTTTATTTTATTTTCATAGGGAAAGCATGAAAGAATATAAATATTTTTAATATAATTATAATATAATTTCATTTCCTGTTAAATTTATTCATTAAGCTCAAACACTTTAGTTAAAATGTTACATACTTTAAAAAACAAACAATATGCTCGCTTTGAGGGTATAATTAAGAGGCAGCTGCAACTTTTTTTGGCAAACTTTTTGTGTTTTTTTGTTTGTGGTTCGTTTTATTCTACCAGAAGGAAAAGTTGCAAAAGTTATTTGATTTGGAATTTTTTTTTGAAAAGTTTCTCTTTTTCTATATGATTTTTTGGCTTCGACTGGCCTTTGAATGAGTGTGTGTTTATGTGCCACTAAATTAATGAAAATCACAACTGTGTGCAAAATGTAATTTAATCTTATTTTTTCTTTCACTTTTTTGAGGCTCGGGGGCAACTGGCGCGTGGCTTGCGATAAACTTCTCAAGAAGTGAGTCTGAGTTTGTGGAAGTATTCTGTTTTTATCAGGCGAAACTGACAGTTTTCAAATTTATCAAGCAGCTTCAAGAAGGCTTCTCGGCTGAACCAAGACCCATCTGTGTTGGGTGTTCAATTTGTGATGGGCAAGGTCACACGGTCTTCAACTTGTCGTATTGTTTGTTCTGTAATTTATTAGATTTTCCTGCTTAGCATCAAAGGTTTAGCTTTTATTACCCTTTTTGGGAACTAATTCTCCAACTACAATATAAACACAGCTAAGAAATTGAGTAAACAATCAATTGTTCATTCAGAAATTGGCCAAAGAAATTGAATTTAAAAGCTTAAAGCCCATAAAACACATCGCTTTTATCGCTGGATAAGCACGCAGTAATGTGGTTACCCCGTTCAGCTGCATATCTCTGCTATTAAATGTGAATCCGTGCCCTCAAAAATGTGGAAAATATCAAAGCAATAAAATGCAGAATACATCCCGATTTTTGCCAAGTCTTTGCTTTCCACAGCCAAGGAAGTAAAAGTCAGCAGCGTCAGCAAACTAAAAGACACCAACGATTTTTTACTTCCCATAAAATGGCTAAAAAAATTCTTGATGTTCTCTTCTTTTTCTATTCAGTATTAGAAAAACCGTTTAATGGGCACATAATGCCAATATTTGAGAATTTTTATTAAGAAAATTAAAGAAAGAAAGTGCTGCGAAGTCAATTCTATTTAAAGATCTTTATTCATCTTTCTCTTATTTATAAATATTTCTCCCACTGGGAACCCCAAACATTAAATAGCTTAACTATATTTCCCACTGTCCGGCATATGATATCTCCTGTGGCATTCACCACATTCAATCTCTGTTTACACTGGACTCGAAGGCATTGTGTCAAGTATTTATTGCTTTATCGCCGTTCGTTATGTTTCGTTCAACTAATTTCAAACGATTTTTCACAGCGGAAATATTTACCCGAACTGCGCCAAAAATGGTGTGTGTTTCTTTCGCTCTATGATTTTATATTTCTTTTACTTTTTTTTTGCGTTCTACTTTGTTGACCACTAAGAGGTCATGGGGATGAAGTGGGTTGGGTTTTCTGCTGGTAAGAAAGGGGCTGGGGTTAGGGGGCTCCAAAATCGAGTGTCGGTTGTCGGCAGCATGGAGCTTGCATGAACCGCCAGCTGCGTTTGCCGTTTGTTTACTCAGTCTACTCGGGGTCTGTGGATGGACTCCGGTCTGTTCTGTGTGCTTCTATCAGGGGCGTGACCCAGAGGGAACTGACTTATTTGCCCAGCCAATAATCAAGTCAAGCAAGTGAGTGTGTGTACATCCCTCAGAAAAAGCCATCATAAAGATATTACTTTAACTTTGGTTTTTCGAACTTTTAGGTTTTTAATAAAAATTCGTTATAGTGAAAGGTTTTAGTGGTATTAAATAATAGAAAACTTTTTAAATGAAGATTAAGTTAAGAATATATTTGCTTGTAGAAGATAACCCTCTTCACTACGCCTTTGCCCTTTGAATGCTTAGTTCCTGGGAACGAGTGTCTGTGTGTCTGTACTTGCGGCCACTGCTAATCGTCTAATTTTATCATGTGGTTTTCCCCATTTAAGTGCCGCCAAGTGTTGAACGATTTGTGTAGTTTTTCTTAACCGGAGCCCCCCGCTTTCCCCCTCAGTGGTTTCCTTCTTCTTCTTCTTTATTTTCTTTTTTTTTTTCGTTTTTAATGGCTATTTGTGGAATTTTCGGTATGGCTGTGCTCGGTTGGCATTCTTTGCTTATCATTAGGCTAAGTGCTTGCACATTTGACCTTGCCACGCCCGCTCATTAGCCGGTGAATATGAGTGACAACGCCCACTTGCACCTGAATGCCATTTTGTCGTCGTCTGCCAAAGAGATGCAAATTAATTGGACCCGTTTGTCAGTGGGTGAGAGAGATTGGAGGTGGGGGGATAAACAAGACACAGCGGTCACGCGCATTTCATATTTGTTATGAGTTCTCATATTGCGCATACGCCTGGTTGGCCCGGCAGACAGCAGACAACGGCAATCAATCAAAAGCCCAAAATTACGCAGCCAGTTCCTAATCTCGCCGAATACAGTTTGGCCTAGTCGCATGGTCCATGGGCTGGGGAGCACTGTTTCCGGTTACAATTTTGCATAGAACGCGTTTCGGTTGCCAAACAAAAGTTTTGCCTAGTCAGCTTATGTTTGGCAATGGAACAACAATATTTGAGTCCAAGGATGGCTTCGCTAAGTTTGTTAGTCCCAGAACTTTGGCTAACTCTCTGGTTTTACGCCTTTAAATTAAACTTTAACTGTTATGAAGCAGCAAAGTTTTGATGGGAAAGAGGATACCTTCAAATTGAAGTTAAGAGAAGTTTGGAGAAAGAAGTTGCAAATTAAGAAAGTAAACAATGAAATGATCAGGAAAATAGCTACTTTATTAAACATTTAAAATCAAATTAAGTTCCTTTTCTTATTCAATACTGTTTTGACCATATTGGGATCCATCAAAATGCCTTGTAAATATGCTTTACCCTCATCTGCTGAACCTACCTCTGTTATTGATTGCTCCACCTGGATTATGGCTCATTCAGCACGTCTCGGTCAGCTGTTGCCCGGGTAAGTGCATTTCGATTTCGTCCTGTCAAATTATGAGCTCCCTGGATGTTATCTCTTTCTAGACCAGCATCCCTATCTCCATCTCCCTCCGGGTCGCTTAAGCGGCTTTGCAGACCAGTTCCATTTCCTTTTTAGCCAGCAGCGCAGTTATTACACGCCCACAAATGCTGACATTTCAATTGTTCGGCTGGGCTTAGCTCTGCTGTCAGTGCCAAATATTGTTTGGGTCAAGTATTGCGTTTTGGCCATTAGTTGGCAGTTACAGAGAGAGAGAGTGAGAGAAAGAGAGGTATAGGAGGATAGTGGTAGAGGAGAAACCTCGAACTATAACCTTAATGCCTGCGCCTTAGCCTCCGATATCCGTGTCGACGTGGTCGTCATCGCATCCGTAGCTCAGCTTATAAAATATGAACCAATTGACGTGAAATTGATTGTTCTCCTCCAAGCTGTGCTTCACTCTGTTCTCCCTCTCTCTCTTTCGTTTTTCTTGTTGCCTTCTCTTTCGCTTTTCCTTCCTCAGTATCTTGGGTTTTCCGTTTGCGCTTTATTAACTACAACCACCATAAACTGCAGGCGAAGCCAGCTTCTACACTGCCATTTCACAGCCTTTGCACTGGAAGAAAACTTTTACTTCATTTATTTTCTTTGCTGAGAAAAACAGTTTTTATATTTGAATTTCCATTACAGTTTTTATTTTATAATAATATATATAGAATTTTCTCTGCGTGTAGTTTTATCCTTCTATGCTGCCTTTCCCCACCCCCTACATCCTCTCCTCTCGCTTATCGCTCATTTTACACGCTGGCAGCTATGCGAGGCGTTGCCGCAAAATTCCTTACAGTTGGCATATTTTACGTGCCGGGCCAAGGGCTCAGAATACGCCGGAGAATGAGCCTCGGCAAGGATTAGGAGTTGCCCGGACCTTCACGGCTTTCCCAGTTCAATCGAAGTATTCGAATGGGATTTTCTGGCGTGCTCTTAATTAATGTGATGACTTGCGGTCAGACAAAAGGTCCAGAGCATCATCAATACATGACATTGGATTCGAGTAGGACAATCATTCATCATGGACATGCAGCTCAGGAGGAGTTGGTCCAATGAAGGCAGGTGTAAGTTATGGAGAAAGCTTGGAATGTCGACAATTAGTGGAGGATTCTTTAGCCTTGGCCAGGGTAATTTATTATTATCATAATTACTTCAGTTTATGTCAAAGTTAACCTCAGCTAGAACTTTAAAAACGAAAACGTACTTTAATGTTATTAATGATTAAGACTAAGTACAATTTGTAGCGAATGAAAAATCAGAATAAATACTCTGCCAGCTTATCATTAGCTTCTGAATGTCTTCGGGCCCACACATAATATAATCCTTGGACGTGGGCCATATGTCAGACATTCCTCACCTGTCCGTGTGGCAACAACAATGGCCATTTATTTGATGTCGCTACTTACCTTTACACACACGCTTCATTTCCATTTGTAAGCAATTTTTCAGACCCACCAACGTAAGAGTAAAATCCTGGCGCGGAAATACGCTTTCCCAAGCCTCAGTTTTCCACGTAGAAGGCCCGGTTCTGTATTTTTGGGCCATTTGTATGCGTGCTGCAGCATCTCTTGGCGTTGGACAGATGGGTGGGAAAATGTAGGTGGGCAAAAATATAGTTCGTGCCTCTGCATTCGGCTCGCTTCGAACCCAAAACACAACAATGAAAACGCCGCAACGAACATGTTCGAAGCACATGGCACGAACCGCAACCGAGAACGCAACTTTGAAAAATGTTTTTTCAAAAGCGTCGGCGGAAATTCAGTTGTTTGGAAGCCACTGCAGCTAACGGTACTCTAGTCGGACAAAGATTTTCCCCATTAGCCACTTAGCCGATAGGCTTTTCATGAAAAGCGTGTGAAAAACAAAAACAATAGACCCACCGAAACAGTGTGTGTGTGTGGGTGTTTGTGTGTGCGAGTGTTTGTTTGTGACAAAAGTGAGGGATAATCCTCGATAAATCTAGAGCAAGCACAAATTACAAAAGGAAAAGGAAAAGTGCAAGAAATATTTAAAAAGGAAAATCTAAAGGAAAATCGAAAACTTGGACAGTGAAAGTGAAAAGCTATGCATTTTATTCAAATCTATTTCAATGTCATAACAACAATAACAGCGGCAGTAGTAACGACTTCAAGGAATGCCAACTGCCAACCTTTTGTTTTGTCTTTCTTTCTGGCCAATAGCCCTGCAGTTTGTATGGCTTCAGAAATAACCATAATTTGTCCTTGACTAACGGGGCGGCTATTTTTAAGCGTTTTTCTGCTGCTTTTGTTGTTGTTGTTGTTGCCAGTCCACCCACCAATCGAGAGACATAAAAAGTGAAAGCCAATTGCAGCGTAAATCGGGAATACATATATAAATTGAATTTAATTGTACAAAAGATACTCGACAGAGAGCAAGCTGCCAGAATCTCAGCTCTCACTCCGATTGACAGGGGAGGAAAGGCAAGTGTCCTGGACTCTGATGGATGGCCCCGTGTGACTTGTGTTTACTTTTGAATTTATTTTCCTATTGTTGGGACGTTTTTTTCTATTTTCTGTCTTTTTTTTTTTTTTTTTTTAAATGTCACAACAAAAAAAAAAAACAAACGAGAAAGACAGAGAAGCTAATTTGATGCGTTGGCTGGCTGTCAACCACGTCAACTTGGCTGGCGTTGTGTTGACGGATTTGTTTTTGATCAGACAGGCGGCACACGGCGTATGCGCAATTTACAATGAAATTTCCTACGTTTAATAATTGATGTGAGAATTGGATTACCAACCGAATGTGCCCCGGGGATAATTGTCAAGTCATTTATTTATAACAGCTTACCCAACCGTAAGCCCTGGCATTCGATGGTTTAATCAATAATAAAAGGCGAGGTGTGTGTGTGGCCATCCATAAGGCAGCTCAGTTCAGTGGAACAAAGCGTCTTGGACAACTCACTTGGCAATAAACAATTCACATGAACTATCACGCCATTTCAGTGGAAAATCTCATTTCGAACGAGAAATTACTTTCACAGACAATCAATGCATTTTCCCCAGGTCGAGGAAATTTCATTTCCAGGTAAAAGAAAATAAAGATAAAGGAACCGCGACCTCAATGCACATGTGGTTAATTGCTTGTCCTCAAACGCATACATTGTACTGCCAACTGACGACGAACAGCAGCCATTACGTATACGCCGTGTGTCTTACGACCTACGACCTCAAAAATGGGTACCATTCGTCTACGTACGGGGCACGTGCTTAATATTTCCAAGTCGAGCCTCGGCTCGTTTGCCAGGCTCACGTACCTCGTCGTAATTAATTTATGCAATAATTTTTCATTGCCGACATAACTTGACAATTTTGCTTGGCTAACCGAAAACGCAAAAGGGAAAATGTTTTAATTTTAGAATTTCCGTTTGCTCCTTTGGTTTAAGCCATAAACTAAACTTGCCACACAGCCCCGAAGGTCTGACTCTTATTGCCACTAAATTTTCGCCATTGGACAATTGAAAGAGTTTTTGGGCCAAAGTAGGAGAGAGTTTGATAGAGAGGGGGATGAAGGGCATCCGAAAGTTATGATAAATGACAAAAGACAAGGCACATAAAAGCCTGGACAGAGGCCAGCCAAACTTTTGAGCCGTCACGAGAGGGAAATGGCCATGAATGCCGGTCATTAGGTTAACTGACCGGGCAGGAAGTTGGCCAACGCTTATACCACTATATCCTCTCAACTTGGTATCAAGTTCCCCTCCCCCTTAGCTTCGAAAGCCCCCTCCATTTTCGTCATTGTATTGGGCACTTTCTTTTTTGGACACTTCACTTTCGATGATTGGCGGAGCCACTCGAAGGGAACCCAGCACACAAGTGGCAACAGTAACGGTTAGAAGGCGGAAAAACGAGGGGAGTGGCTGCGACAGCTGCGCTTTTCGTGCGACTGCGGGAAAACTCAAGGGGCAGGGCAATCCGGGAGCTGCTCGCACTTGACAATTGCCATCAAGGACGAGGAAATGCCACGTTCCTTTTGTACTTTTATGTTCAGACACGCCATGCGATTGAGTCGAGCGGAATGGGGGAAAAACTAATCGAAAAGGTTATTGACTAAGCCGATGGTATTTGTAGAAGCTTCTGATCTTGACTCCAACATACATAAATTTAATATTAGGTTTTTAATTAAAATGACAGTTGTTGAGAATTTGTATGAGCTTCTAGATTTATTTATTTGGAAAGACTTTCCAGAAGACTTTCAAAAATAGATAAAAACTCTTTTCAAAGTATATCCTAAAGACTTTTATATTACATTTAAACTTCAACTTCATATTTTAAAAGCAACCAATATTTCTGTTCAAAAACTTTGCAAAACTAACTAAGCAAGTAAATATTTGTTTAAAAAAAGTTTGCATTTATAGAAAAAATGAACTTTTTATAGTTTTTCTGGAGTCGAGCTTCGGTAGTTTTGTTTGCTTTCAGTATGTACGTCATTGATTGCTGTCTGCTTTGAATTTTTATGGGACCAGTTTCGTCGTTTTCCCCCTCCTTTCAACCCCGAAAAACTTGGGGGGGTGTCTCTCACCTGCGGGTCTGTGGGTTATTGGTTTTGGGGGACTTGCGGCACTAAATGTCAAGTGCACGTGCTGTACAATAGCAGCTTTTCCTGACCGCTGTCGAACACTTTCCCTGTAGCCTTTCCCCCCTCTCATTTCATCAGCCAAATAAAAAAAAACCCGGCAACGTGACGTATGAGTGATACAGGCATATATTAAATGTTTCCCAAAATGAATGTGTATTTGTTTTTGGGGTGCTTATTAAATATTGCGCAGTCCCCGGCATGTGTCAAAGTAAAACTTTACGACTGTCGAAAAATGATTCGCGATTCGGCAGCTGCTCACTTTCATAACTAACAATAAACTAACTGCAATCAATCAAAATCAAAGTCGGATTTTACAGTCCCAGCCAACTGCGAAGCAAATATAAATCATAGCAATTTTCGAATGCCTTAACTCGGCGGAAAACCAGAACTGTGAGTGTGTGTGTGCAAACAGTGTAGCCGAAAAATAATTACAATTTGAGCGGAATCTGAGAAGGGCAGACAGCGAAAACACACAGAGCGGAACCCGGAGAGAAGCTGAGTAAGTAAACCGGAATGGAAAAGCTGATGACCTTACCCTATGCCTCGTTTCTCAAACTCAATCCCCCGTTTCGAAACCCAAGTCGAAAGACCAACCAAATAAAAACTAAAACAGAACAAAAAACCAAACCAATGCAAAGTCATGCATAATGCAAATGCAAATTCGAGTCAAGGATAGTTTTTGGCACTTTCCTAGCACACAAAAGTGGTGGCCAAAAAGGATCCTGAGGTTCCCTGGCGTCGGACTGGCTTTCTCCTTGTCTCGGCCTGCACTTGGCTTAGTTTTAATCCCATTGCAATGGGTCTAATAAAAAACTTTATAATTCCAATTTATACCCTTTACAATTTTTTTGTTTTTACGAAATATGTTTTTTAACATTTTCTAAGTACTTTATACTAAAAGTTACCTAAGAACAGAATTTCCTAACAATATAGATTATAACTAACAGACTATATGGTGTTTACCCAAGGCACTCAATCTACATAAAGTATAAATCAATTAGGAAAATCAATGTTGATTTTTTGGAATAACCAAACAAAATAAAATTAACCAAAGATATAAAAACCTAATAAACTTGCTGGAAAACAAAACATACGAAATTAACCACAAGAAATCATAGGAAATGCATTGGTTTGCTCTTTTTGTATACATAGTTGAAAACAACACATCATTAGCATTTCCCGAAGAAGTGGTTTTCAAGAAACACCCACAATGAATAAAGAAAATTCTCAGGCCATATAAATCGATCTCTCAATGGTTGTTCTTTGCATTTCATTTGCTTAAAATATTCTCAGCCATAAAAGTTCATAAAACGTGTGTTCTGTTCTTAACGTTTTTTAAAGTGTTTTTCACTTTCAATTTACTTTTGATTTGTTTCTGGCGCGGTATGCAAAGCAGCAAAAACTGAACAAGAAACAGAAAAACCATTTCTTTACTGCGGTTACCCTATATTCAGAGGGAGTATTTGCTAAGAGAAAGCTTGTTTTATGATGGGTATGAGTTAGGATTTATTCACCGATGGAACTGCTTTAGATATCAGAACTTAAAACATAAAATATTTACCTAAGAACTGTTTTTAAAGGGTATTTAATAGTCCACCCATAGCTTTGAAGTGCTGTTTGTTTTGCTTTGTTTCAATTGCGGTTTTTGTTTATTTTTGCGCAATGCTCCAATTAGGCATTTTGCGCATCTCAGTAAGTCTCACCCTGCAACCTGCACCCTGCCTGCCTGCACCCTGCAGCCTGCTCGCTACTTAATTATCAACAAAAATATATATTAGCAACGGCTGAATCATTTTTCAAATCTGGACAAATAACAAATGAATGGATTTGGACCGTTGCCTCTGTTAATCACCTGAAACTGAAACTGAATCTGGTTGGGGTAATCAAAGAGCAAGAAAGATGGCAAATTCTCCTTTTTCCTGGCCCTTTGAACTTTTGCACTCTCGAACAAAAGCGCAGAAAAGTTTTCTACCTTCTGCCCTTCAGAAGAATTTTCCATTTTCTTCTGGTATTTTCATTATGCATGTGAGTGGCGGTGGTGGAGGTTTAACTCTGATTTATTATATGACCTGGTCATGGTTCTGGCGGAGAAACTTTTGATTTCTCATTGTGATTATTTTATGATAGTTTAAGCCCAGACATTGCAGAATCCAAAAAACTTTTCGGCACACAATGGCCCGCATCTCCGAAATGAAATCGGTATGTCGAACGATGAATGTTGAACGCTGAATGTTGGATGTTGAATGGGAATGGCAGTGAGAGCCAAGCAAATGCATTGAAATTTGTAAAGCTGTCAGTATAAGAATGAATATGTGGTGTATATATATATTCACACTGAATACTAAGCTGAATAGAGAGAAAGAGTTCTTAAAATGTTTTTCATTTTTTTCCCCCCAATTTCCATTGATAAATCGTTTCCGTTTGCTGGCAGCAATCCTTGCTGTACAAAATATTTCTACTTCCACTCCTTCGATGATGAAATTTTCGATTTTCTAGAATATTATTTATCTGGAGCAGCCACAAATTGAATACATTTTCATAGACTGAATGCATTGGCCCCGTTGAGTGGCATTCGCAAATATGAACATTGAGCATATTACGTATACGCGACGATGTCATCATTTTGGCAGAATTTTTGCTGATGCCACCATACTATATACCACCATTGATGCATACTGATGGTAATGAGAACACGTGGTCGCTCACATTCGCAATTACACATTTAAGCTGTGTGTCATGCATATTGAGAGGCTCATTAAAATCTAGTGCGGACAGGAAGTGGAATCTGGGCGAAACTATCTGAGATGGTAAAAGGAGGAGCTCGTATGCTTATGAACCTATTTATATATTTCAACTAATGACTCTTGCTTCAGAGTTGAAAATATGAATTTCTTCGTTTTATTTCTTGACGTACAGGTGATTAAATTGCCGCCTTTGGGCCTGGCCTGCCATCGTTATTTCTAGGTTTCCAAGGACGAGAGACAAGCTCTTCAGTACGAGATCCACAACAATGGCGCGTTGCATACATTTCAGGGCATATTTCATGAGCTGTTAATTTCACGCGGCGGAAAAGTCATGTGTGAATGCGGGAAAAGCGCCTTTTAATTGAAAATTCACAAGGGTCTAGCGTGGAGGTTGGGGAAAAAGAGCGGCAGAAAAGGGAAATGAAGGAAAGAACGAGGGGAATGTGGCGCTTAAATATTTTGTTTTCATTCTTCCGTTTCGGTAAAGCGGCCAACAATGGAGGCGCCGCTTAAGTGGGCGTAGATTGTCCATGTAAATGCCACTGGCAATGTAACAGAGCGAGATGGAGCAGGAGAGTAAGAGAGAGGTCAGAGCTAGCTAGAAAAGGAGGTTAACAAGTTGAAGCTGTTTGCTGACGTACCATCTCGTCTCTTCTCGCTTCTGGTCTGGTCTGGTCTGGTCTGGAAATTATGTGCGAAAAATACTCTTCGCACCAGTGAAAATTTTCAACAGCATAAGCTTAGCAGTGATGCCCACTGAAAGAAGCCAATTTTCTTGATTTAAAAAATCTAAAAATATGCATAAATCATAAAAAAACACATAAAACGATGATAAAACCAGCTTAGACTAAACCTTTTTGTGTTTTTAATCAAATTTTCATATTTATTTCAGCTTAGTTTGATTCATCCATTAAACCAACTAGAAATTAGCTAAATGAACAACTCTATTACGTAGAGGGGTCTTAAAATGAGGCCGATGGGTCGGGAGTGATGCCCCTCCATCAAGTGGTCCAAAAGTGAGCTTAGAACGCCCGTCGCCGCCACTCGAGGATGCAACATGGCAAGGCGAAATTGGACTAGTTGCCGCCATCGCCTCTTGGCACATTTCCCCACGTTAAACATATCTCCTGAGTGGAAACTGTTTCCACATTCACTTTTCCCGTCAACCATCTCCACCTCCCCATTCCCACTTCCCACCATCTTAACGGATTTCTCGCATTTTCCGCCGCAGGCTACTCATGGCAAAAGGCCTGCTGGCTAAATGGGGCACTTGCATTGCCTGCGACCAAAAGGGCGCATGATAAGCTCAGGAAGGAAGGTGGCGGAAATGCTGAGGAAAGTCTTTCAACCCGTTCACCTTGAAGCCATGGCGCCAACACAAATATCAACGGCTTGCCGGCAGTGGGGTAACATGTTTTCCACCCGGAAAACTTTATAACAAAAACGAAGCCATAAAATTAGGAAAATAATTAAATTCTCATATGGGAGTCTCAATCGTTGGCAGTTTCACGAAATTGTTTTTCCACCTGTTTTTCAATTATTTTTGCGCAGCTGAGTAGAGGCAAAATGAAAAGCAAAACAAAATGAGTTAAGCTGTGTTCTTGCTTTGAAATTATTTTAGTTTTGTTAGATAAAATTAATTTGGAAAAGCCTTTTAAGTACCAAATTGTTAGACGTTTAAATGGCAAACAATTTCCTTGGCAACACCAACTAAGTAAATATATTATTTGTCCGAAACTGTTATTTAATAGCTCACCAAACTTCGTGCCATCCCAAAAAAATCACCGAAATAAACACATGTCACGTATTTTTACTTCAGCAGTTCTTGTTTTCTTCAGCCTTTTACTTTTTTTTGCCACTGCCCTCGACGGAATCAAATGTCAGCGCGGCTCGAGGATTTTCCGGTAGTGGATGTGGCTGTGGATGTCGTCGGACACCTCGTGGCTGTGGCCTCGTGGCTCGGGTCTTGGATGTGTCATTAATTGCCTGGCCGCCATTTTGGTTGTTGGGCTATCCTCTGCTTTTACCGGTTTTACGGTAACCCAAAGCTCAGAGCCCATAACCCGTAACCCGTAACCCGTAACCGTATCCGTGTCGCCTGCAGGCCATACTATAGTTAAACAAATCAACGCTTTCATGGCCACTAATGCAATCAGGCCGCAATAATTTTAACGCTCAGCTAGTACTAGCAATTTGTCATTTTCCAATCTGAGCGAAGGAAATGGGAAATGGTAGAGGGACTAGAATAGCTAGCGAAGGGGGCGTGGCAGGAGCAGCTTTGGCATTTTCATTTCCATTTTTATGCGCTTGTCATCGCTGGGATGGAAGGGGAATGGAATGGGATTGGTATGGGTTGGGGTGGGCTTAAGTGCTGCCATTTGCAGCTAGAAGCGCCTTAGTTGCCTTAGTCTCATTTGAGATATACCCACACATAGACACACACACACACCACAACAGATGTGCTCACATATACAAGATGGTATATGTATGTGTGGACACACGTTGAGATGCTTTTTAGTTGATGGGATTTCTTTAGTTTCTCCTTCGCTTGCTTTTCTCTTTCTCACTCAGCACTTAAATGTGACCAGAAGGTTGCAGATTCCTTCAGATAAATATATATATATATTGTCAAAGACACACATTTTTACTGTGATTTACTAAATAGCATCGTAAATTGTAAAAAATAAGAACTATAAGAACGAAAATGAGCTACTTAGCGGTCGATATTCAGTCCGTGCAAATTTAATATCCTCAA